TCATTTCCCTTGTTACCGTGTTCATACCTCTCATTTATATTATTACTTATTCAATTGTTTCTATCGTTGCCGATATTTCTTGTTTCACTCTTATTGCCGCTGCTATTCCCTATGCAAGTATCACCGTCATTTCCATTTTTCGATGCATTTTTCCTTCTCAGTTAGTGATACGTTTTTTTTCCATTATTTCGATTACGTTCAATCTGCCCGTGATTCAGATCTCTGAATCCCAGGCGCTTTTCCTATCAACCGGGTAGTAGCAACGGTGGAATTGCTGGCACGAGGCGTTGCAACTCTAATTAACTGACACGGGCCATTCCTCAAGCACTGTGCCGCGAGTCACAGAGCTCAAGTTCGCGAACCGCCTAAGGCTACGCTAATTAAGAACCGACGTTCACAGTTAAATCCTCGCAAGAAACAGTGCACGGTGATTCTATCGGTAGACCGCAGGCTTGATGGATTAATAAGAGAAAAATTATGAGTCTGAGATTGCCTGTTGCTACGAGAAATGATTCGTGAAATTAATATGCACCTTCTGGCTTACTCGTTTCCTAATTAGAATTTGTAAGTGACGGATGAAAAGACATCAGTTGTATGGATCAAGTGGGTTCAATGAAATTGTGGAAATTGGAAATGTTTTGTGGTGTTGGGGAAAGTAATATTGTTACTGGATATTAACTATGGTATCGAATAATGAAGTATAGTAGTATATAAATTATAATATATTAGGTCATATGTTGTTGTGTATCAATATTTGATGTTATAATTGGTATTATAGTAATAATGTCAGTTTGAACAATACTACGAATTATTTTTGTATTTTCAGACTTGTTTATATCTATACTTTTAATTTAATCTGATAAATCGAATGTCATATGGTGTTATAAATAATATTAACTTTATTATTATTATTGATTATTATTAATATTAGTATCATTTTCACATTATTATTAGAATGATAACAATATTCCTTTTAACAACATTTCAAGATATTTTTATATTTCTAACTGAATATGATAAGTTAAGTGCTTATTATTACGTATCAACGTAACGTTGTATCGCTAAATGTCAAAACAAAATTAAATTATTAATCGCAACTCTACTATACATCATACAATATATCAAAATATCAAAAATAAAATAAAATCATAACCATATCTCCATTATACTATACATACATAACATATTTCAAATATACATTTTTAAATCAATATTCTTTAAATAATCTAAGAAAATAGTCTCAGCATAAAACATATTTTTAAAACCATCAATATTATATTATAAATATTTCATACTATTTATAGAACGCCATAACTAAAATTTCCCTATTTAATTACGTACACCAGAAAAATGCGGTCTACCGATTCACCGACGAATCATCACGTGTTCGCTGTAACAGAAGCATATAATTTATCCCTCGTTCCGTATGATCAAAGTCATTATTATTTATCCCTGCAATAAATGCGAGAAGGGTGGTAGCGCTATTAAAAGGGCTCGTGCATTTTCCAATAATAGGGAGTTCGCACGGTCTTCCTCGGCTCGGGCACCATTGTAATCACGGATTTGTGTAACCAGTTGCCAATTGCAGCAGAAAAGCCGCTGGCCCACAGTCTGAATGACGCCCCCAGATCGAATTGATTCCAGTCGCGTTCGCGGTATCACCGTATAAAACAAAGTTCCGCATTACGGCTGCAGTCATCGTACGAAATGCGCTGCGATGGGATCGCAAATTTACTTTCGTTTTAATTAGATACTCCGCGGTGTTGTTTGATGTTAGGAATATTGAAATGCGCTTGTGTATTAATTAACCCCTTGTTCTATGATTTATTTCGCAACTGTGCTTGGTGGAAGTTAGTTTATTGTGCAGAATTTATTGGAAGGAGAAGAGAGTTTGATAGTTCTTGAGTCTCTACGGTTACTTTAATGGTTAACGATTGTTAATTGTAGATATTCAGTTTGACATTTAGTTTATTTTGGGAACATTTTCGTAATACTTGGATTTGTTAAATTCATTTGGAAATTGTCAGCGGGAGTATGACACAGTATTATAGGGTATTTAATTAGTATTTGGTTGTGATGAATATGCGCCATATAATTAGTTTTCATTTGTACAGTTTGTACTACTCGCACTTATTAGACGATTGTAGAGAATTTCAAATGGTTGTTCTTGTAAATGAAACAATGTATTGAGTATATTTTTTTTTAATTATTAATTGAATATACTTTTTGAAATATTGAATTGAATGTTTCTTGGAATAATTAATTGAATACATTTTTTGAAATATTTAATTGGACGTTGTATGGTATAACTAATTGAATATATTTTTTAAAATATTTAATTAGATGTTTTCTGAAATAATTAATTGTATATGTTTTTTGTGATTTTTTTGTATATGTTTTTCGAAATAATTGGATACATGTTTTTTATCAGAGTCCAGAGTAATAAATAATTATAGCAGTATAAGAAAAATAATTGCTAGTAAAGAAGAGTATTCACGTTAAAATAATACATTTAATATTGATCGTACTTGTATCTCGATTTTGTGAAATCTTATTTCATATTTCCGACTGTTATATACTTTAAAACATTCACAAATATTTGTGTTTCTGTTGAAAATCTGTCCCGAATCCCTTTTACACCTACTTCAGTTATTAGTATCAGTTACGGAATAAGAGAAATAATCCTAGACTCGAATAATCACACTTAAATTATACATCAAATAATTGTCATAATTTCCACGCAATTTTATATAACTCTAAATAATTATTCTAATACTCCATGTCACCAAAAATATTTTTTACTTATTCAAATCTTTATTTATACTCATATAAATTATTTTGAATGCTCGATCTAACATTTTTATATTTATTCTCTAATATTTAATGAATACTTGAAAAATAATGGAACTTCATTGTTAATGATATATCTCTCCTGAGTGCTCAACGCAAGGTTTTTGTGTTTATTAACTATTGCATAATGAAAATCTGAAGAATAATCTTCAAACTGCATTGATTGTAACTTTCAGATCGTAAATATTGACATGATATTTGAGCGTTCGAAAATTCATCCAGTTTATTTCGTAGATCTCTCATTTCCGGAAATGTCGCGTCAATGCATGTATTCCCTCGTTTTCGAATTTTCCGGCAGTGGAGCCGCGGGCGAAACGAACTCGATGCACATTTTCGATTCCTTATCGCGCGCGAATCGTGGTCGTGTACCTTGCTGCAGTTATCCTTGCTGATTGAGCTTTCACGAGAAATCGATGTCCATTATACGTCGTGAAATAGTTCGTTTTTATCTGATTTTTAACATGTGCAACCCGCAAATCCGTGAAATGGAACTCTGTATTTTAAAAGATAACATTATCGGGCGAAATGAACGTATTTCACATGGTGACGTGATAATATTTTCTAATTCCTCGGCTGAAACATTCATTCATTATAAAATATTTTATGTAACTCAGAAGTACTTTTTTAAGGAATGCTTTTAATGCTTATCAACAGATTTCTGAACACAAACACAAATTTCTTTCTTCTTTTATACACTTCGAAAGCTACGGTTAAATTTAAATTTAAATATCAATGCATCGAGTACATCCAGAAATTAAATTCTATACACGTACATCAATATTAAACGTAAGAGTGAATTGTATTTTAAATATAAGATAATTGTCTGTTTCGGTTCGTATTGAAAAATTCTGTTTCAGTTATTTACATATTTCTGTTAATTTATTTATGTATACTGTACAATATGGAACGTAGTTTAACACCGGCATATTTATAAGTATATTAAAGGAAAATTGAAATTCAATTATTTCATTCTTCGTTAAATATTTTCGTTCTCCATATGTGTATAAATCACAGTGACGAATAAATGAAATTATTGTATACTTACAGGTAAATTAAAATTAAATTGCAAACGAGGTTATGAATAGTCTTCAACAGGTATAGGCTAACCTGACAGTAAACTATTTCATTCTTCCATAGAAACTTCTACCTTCAAACTCATTTGACAGTAATATATCAAAGTAGTGTGTACAAAGGAAAATTTCGTTGCGCTCAAATATGTCAATATTCAACAGTAACTAGAGAAAAACATAATCAAAATATCTAGTTCATTTATAAATACCCAATTAAATACAAACGAGCAATTTCCAATAATAAATTAACAAACTTTATTCCGAATAAAAATTCAATTCAGTAAAAACGCATCAGCATTCATCAACAGGTTGACTATGTATCATAAATAGTCTCCTGTGCTAATGAAATTTAATAAAATAGTCGCTCCCAAATTTTCACTATCATTAGCAACAATATATTAACACTTATACAATCATCTACCAAAAGCTTTCGCTATAGCCTTTCTCATTAGCTTCTATCGTTCTCGTTTAACATATTTCATTAAAATTGGTATTTCACAAAACCGAGAAAGGTATCCACTGAATTTCAAACATCTCCAGTTCAAAACTCACAAGTAACAAAAGAAAGTAATAAAAGACAGAATAAATAAAATAAATGGCAGTACATTGCCAATTGAAAGCTTCGAGATCTTCTCCTTCCATTGCAAACCCGGACCTACAAAAGTACATTTCAACATTCATCAACAGGTCATCCCCAAACAATTCAAAATTTTCTGATTGCCTCTTTTAAATGTCTTCCTGAATAACACTCAAAGACCTACCGTGCATCGGTGGTTCCAAGGCCAATTACCACTTTATCTACCGTAAGCCTATTAATCGTCTTGTCAGTTTCGAATGCTTAACAATGGGTGACCAATTAAAACTGCGCTGGTTTAAAATAAAACAAATCAGAACATCTCGAGTGTCCTCTATTCTTCGGTTTGAAAATGACAAACTTTAGCTACTGACAGCACAGACTCCTGCACGATGAAGACAACCGTATCGGTAGTTAGTGAGCGGTTGCTTTGGTATTTAGCAGCTTTAAATAAAGCGTTAACTGCTCGTTAACGGAAATCAAATGTAAATCCCAACTGAGCTTACCTCGGTTGACTCGGAATCCCTTCACAGCTGGCATTCTCCTGTGTCCCTTAGTAGTGCCCTGACACTGCCATTGTTTTTCCGTGATCGCTGATCAATTTCCTCGCGCGTTGCACATGATCTCACCTGCGGTCGCTCACCTGCATCACCGATCCTGTCGCACGAAAACTACCCGCAGCTTCACGCGTGACGAACTTCTGTCGCACCACTGTTCCCAGCTTTGTGCTTCATCCTCGTGTACCCTTGCACTCCGAACTCTAACTTATCGTCCAAAAAAAAGGTACGGAAATGCTCTTCTGGTTTTCAAGGTCGAGGAACGCCTTGTCCATTCACTTTGGAGACAAGGAAATTGCACTGGTCTTTGAATAAATTACATTTCTTCGTTGACTCCTTCATAGTGGATACCCTATGTCTGATCAGACACTGTCTGTATCTACTGTGGACTCTATAGAGCTGCGTTCAAAGGTTACGCCAGTTGAGCCTGATGTTTGTAGGGTGTCTTTTAAGGATGAATATTTGTGTTTATTTTTTGAGGTTGGATGTATTGTCTTTTTATTGTTTATAATGTTTTTAATTCTTTTTCTTTTAATGTTCTTGATGTTGGGTCGCGGAGTTTGATCGAATATGCGGTATTTAGAGGATGCCACGACGCGCCTCCGACAAGTGTCGCGCGCAGACTGAAGCCTCGGTTCGGGAAGCGTTCCCTCGCGAGTTAACGCACGCGTCCGACGCGCAGGGCTCCTGCGGATCGCGCCGGTGCCCCTAAGAGCACATGAGACTGTTCCGAATCTACCCCTATGTTTCGTTTCGTCGACGTTAGAAATTCGATTCAGGAGTTTGCGTGTTGCTTCTTCGGTGTTCGGTGTCAATTTGAATTGCTGTTGTGTTGTTTTTATTATATTGTCATCTTACGTGTGCTTTTAATTTTGAAAATGGACAACGGCATTTCGAGTAAAAGATTATTGACACGTTTCTTACATTTTTGTACTTTGTATTAATTGGAGCTAAATATAATTAGTTATAAACTAAACAGATAAACAGATATAGCAGTCTACAGAACTCCTTTGTCTGTGACATTAAAATGACATTACAGAGAGAATGTTGTACTTCTAATTTTTCAATGAGCTATTTATCAAAACTATTAAACTATTAATTTAAACTACAAAAGTAATTAATAGTCCAACAACTTTAGAAAAATAACAGGCTTAACATGTTATTAATGTTCGATTATTAATATATTTTTAATTTAGAACTCAGAAGTTTTACACTCTTTTCGTAATGTCATTTTAATGTCACCGGCAGAAATGTCTATGTATTGAACGGTTTTTTCTAAAATCAGCAGCATTGTTAATGAGGCTGTTCTTCTTATTGACAAATACAAATCACCGTTTTCGTCGGTGCCAATTCAATTTTTCATTTCCATGTCTAACAGTGACGCTAATACAGGCACTGAGTGTTAACTGGAATGTCTCTGCGTTCACTCGGCAACCACTGTCACCGACAAGAATACATTAGCATACATCAGCCACAGCATCGTGAAACGTGGCGCTTCAGGGGTCGTTTTAGCTCTCGGTGGCTGCTCCTTGACACCCCGTGGCCTCCTTGTCCTCTCGATTGTCGCTGAACTTCGTCACTCTTCGTTCCCTGATAATACTGTCGCGCAAAATCTGATTCCTAAAACCAAAAACTTGTTTTTCAAAAATCACGCATGGCGCAGCCATTGGAAATTTCATTCTTAAAGCAGGAGATTTATCATGAGAAATTTTCAAAGTAATCACTCTGCAATTATATTGACGTACGGATCTTATTCAATGAAAATTATTGTCATAATAATTTCGAAGTTATTCAATAATCAGGCTTCACTGTTCGTATCGAACATCCAGAATATTCACTCTAGAATTATTAATTAATTCCTAGAATAATCACTGAAGCTAATTTGTAGTAGAATATTCGTATATTGTTTATATACATTCTTCTATTATTTATTTATAAATATTGTAATTCCTATGACGTATTTTGCTAAAACAAGGAGCAGTGATTTCTAGGAAATAGTGATTTCAACTCGTAATTAGATACTGAAGGGATAATTAAGGACCCACAAGTCTATAGATAGTCCATTCAAAGGGTGATCCACGACAGCCAATGACAGATGTGTCCTAGTAAAAATACAAAGTCTCGTGTGTCTCCTAGGGCCGTTCACTTTATCATCTGTCGGTGTGTTCCTATTCTAAATATAATGTCTGGACCGGTCGGGTTGAAGAAGTCTGCTCGCTTTCGCTGATCATATTAACCCAGTTCTTATCCGTTCGCTACTGATCTCTTCCGTTCGCCTATTCAGTCCATTGTGCTCCCTGTTGCAGCGAACACTGTCTACCAGAACGAAGAAAAATTCACTGTTGCACCTGACCTAGAATACTCGCGTCAGCTGCCAGTGTCGTGTATTATCACGTCACCTGAATTATTGATTTCATTTTTATCATTTTTTCAACGTTTTATTCCGTTATATTTACCCGTGCATATTTGGCATAGATAGTAACAGTTTATTTTTATCATTTATTTATCTTCTTGTTTTCTATTTTTCTTTTTTTTTCATTATCGTATCTAATGGTATGCACGTGACACAGGCAATGACGGTCTGTTTTGTTGTTCGTCGAAATGTTTGGTTAAACTGTTTCAGGAATACTCGATTAATTCACCAATATTGATACTACTTCATTAATGGTTAACTAATCAGGAGATTATTCGGTGCCATTAATTTTTGCATTGGAGATGAATGGATTCTGGATTTTTATAGCGATGTTGATTTTCTGGTATGTGCTTGTATTCATTTGTATTGCGTCTTGGTTGCGGATTTTGTGTATTGATAAAGAGCAGAAGCAACAAATATATATATATACATAAAGTTCAATGAATTCGTCAACTGAATTATAATAATATAATACATATCTATATTTATACAATAAAATTCCAGTAAAATTATATAATTATTCTGCAAGGTGAAACATTGATACCACTGAATTTTTTAACTATATAGATGGAATGAAATTAGAATTCATATATTAGTGATATAGTAATATAAATATGAGCCCATGATAAAGTTGTAGCAAAATGTTAATTTCATCTAATGTCCACCAAAATCACCATTTTTGTTGATCATTCAATTGTTTATAGAATTTACTACCTGGAATGTCTGAGTAGGCTCAATAAATATTTTTTCGCGTTGAAAATATTAAATATATATTTGAAAATGTTTTTTATTTACTCGTCTGTAATATATCACATCTTCAATATTAAACTCATCTCAATAATCCGCAGTCAGACTGTATGAGCATTGATATTATGTTATTATTCTGTCAATATTTATTTGTGATATATATTTGACATAGTTTGTTTGTTCAGTCTCAACTGTGGATCCTGTGAGTTTGTAAAACGAGAATGTAAAGTCAAATCCTTTAATGCGTCAGTAATTCGAGTATCGTGCCTGTTTAATATATAAATAACAAGTAAGAAATTATTTACCATTAATATACAGAAAATGATGAATTTTTTTCATTTCAATCAATACTATTAGCAATGAATAACTCATAATTCAATTCGGTAATTAAATTTTCTAATTATTTTTTCATATGAATATTATGCAAATACATGTTGGAAAATTCATATTTATTCCGACTTCCATAAATTAATTTCAACGCGTGCGTAAAATAATTTAATCACCGCAGGTATCCACAGTCTGATTGAATATTTTGTATTTCGTTATTATATAACTGATTATTTCGTTTTTATGTGTATTGCTGTATATATTCTCCATAATTCCGTATGTTGTTTTGTTTTATTGTCGTACTGTGTCTCGAAAAAATGCCATTAGTCTGTTTCAGCCACCGACGTGTTTATTGTATGCTCCAATTCGTCACGTATTACCATAATCCATTCAGAAGTGCCCAGGTAGACTTGGAGAATGCTTTACGCTCTTTGATCATCGCTAAATCTTTGGTGGAACTTTCACGTAAAGTTTCCTGCTGCATGAAACTACCATTAGGATGTGGAACAGTGGAAACTATTTGGCGTATATATTTCTCTTATGAGAACTGGTAATGAATTATAAAATTGTATACCTTTTTGACATATTCTTTTGGAATATTTCACTATATTTATGAAATTAGCAGAAAATTATCTATAGATACTAAAATTATTTAGAAACAAATATTAAAATTACTACTAAATAAATTTTGAAACTATATATAAATAAATATTGAAATTAACTGTAAATAAATAGTCTGTCAATGTCTTCAAAAATATAGTGAGATTTTCTATTCTTCTTAATCCTTAATTATTAATTATTTTATACATATAAATCCCATTGAAAGATTACTTTTAAATACATCAGAAGGATGAAAGTTATTTTTACAACAGTTTTTCAACTGTTTACTCTTTCTTTTAAATTTAGCAATCTATAAGTAGTATTAAGAATGAAAGGAATATTTCCTCAATTTTTTTCCACGTATTTGTTTTTTATTTTACTTTGAATATTCTTTAAACGATACTAGAAATAAGAAAAACTCAATAGTTTCCAGATTGTTTATTTCATTTTATTACACTGATCGGTATTACAACAATGTTAGAGTTGAGAAAAATATCTTTATAACTATTTTTCAAGTAATTGGATTTTATTTTGTATTGAATAATCTTTGTACAATATTAGAAACAAGGAAAACAATTCCATCAGTTTCTCAGTTGTTCATTTTATTGTATAATTCTGACCACTCTTAAAACAATGTTAGAAATGAGAGAAATATTTCAGTAATTATTTTCCAAGTGCTTGTTTCCTATTTTCTATTAAACAATCGTAAATCCATATTACAACTGAGAAAAATATTTTCCAAGTTTTCGTTTCCTCCTTTTACCCGAAATTATTCCAAAAGAATTATATTATCGACAGTGGAGTAGAAAATAGTTCCAGAATCGAAGCAGTCGATCCACCATTAAAAGAAGGAAATGATATTTCTTGTTACCGTGCCGACAGCGAATGCAAAATTGAACGTCATTGTGCTAGGAGTGCAGTATCACCGAAAAACTGAAAACAATCAAACTAATCAAACTTCGATTGAACGCATGCCGGTACCAGTTTTCAGCTGGTAATAGGTTTCCTGCTGGCTCCGAGGGCCAATCATTGATTTTTCAATTTTGACTTTTTCCCTAGGGAACACTGCCGCGACAGTGAACTTCTAAAAGAAGAGAAGAAAGTATCGTGTCCCCGCACAGGGACGAATGAATTTGCAAATCCGTCGCGAATAATTGAGAAATTGCATTGCTAATTGGAATGAGAGTGAGGGGCATTGCTTTGTGTGCGAAACAGCGAAATGCTCTAGTACGCATGTGCAGGCTGCACGCCTGTACCTATTCCTCTAGAGCCCTGGAGCCTCCAAATATTCTTCGTGCCCATTTGAATTTCAAACGTCCTCCATAAAGTTTCAAACATTATTTATCAAATTTGGTGTATCCACTGTTAACTTCAATAATCTTTCAAATTCCACCTCTGCTATTTTATTTTTCAAAAACGAAAGTTCCATTTAGAGTCTTAGTAACAAAACTATCTTCTAAAAAAAGCTTCCACTAAAATTTCGATTATTCATCGAATGTTTCTATTAAAAATATCTTCGATCCTCTCACATCCAATACAAAAGAAACTCCACTTCTCACAAATCCGAAAAACAGCAACCGAAGTAATTCCTACCTCCGTACCGAAACTTCCGAGAATCACGAATAAAAAATACAACTTCCCAAAATCGAAGAACTTACGAAAACAAATCTTCCCAAACTCAGCCCAAACAAAACCGTTTCCAAAAACCACGCAGCTCTAAAGTCTGCACCATGCCCACTACACTCGGCGGAGTTCCATTATATTCCTCTCATTACCATCCGCAAAGAAAAAGTCCAACTCTCCAAGCTCTGTTCATATTGCAGAGACGCCAGCAGCCGTTGGCGAGTGGGCGCTAAGAAATTCATGAGGAGCGATTCCCTGGCATCCCTGGCCCGCGCGGGACTGCTAGACACCCGGACTAGCCGTCCCTGGCCCTCGGAGAGTCTTGTGTCCCGCATCGAAGGCAGTGCTCGTCTCACGATGGGACGAAGTCGCAGTTTTTCCTCGGTTTTCGCGGTCCCCGTGGCGAACGACGACGAGTCATCAGCGGGCCGGTGTTCGGACTCGTATCATTGACCATCCTTGGTGCCCGCCGTTAGAGGACATCGTCGTCGGAGCAGCGTCTCAGCCGAAAAACGGTGCCTGCCAGTGCGACTGTGGGCGGTGTCAGGTTAGGTTTTAGGGTAAGTCGCAGTAGGGTTCATTGACAGACCTCGATAAACGTTTTTATTTGCCCCCTTTGTTGACCCCTATCGATCCATCCCCTAGGCGAATGTTAATCCTATTTTTAATGGCCGTTAGCTCCAGCAAGTTAGCTCCCCGAGAATCTTCACTAAATTTTCATCGCTGGACAATAAAACGTTTGCCAGCCGTTTGTTTATCTTGTTCGAACTGGTCGGTGGCTGTTTGGTCTTTTTTAATATTGCTCGCTGGTTACGCTCGGGCTGGGGCGGAGTTGTAATTAAGTTGCTATGGTTGGCCAGCTGCGAAGTGGGCACAGGAAGTTTACGAGTGCTCTGGCTGGATGCGTGGGCGGGTGTTTACGTCGGGGAAAGAGTGAATATATTAAAAAGCGTTCATGTTGTGCTGCTGCTACGGGGTCGCAGTTTCGGGGGTGTCGTCGGGGTGATGCAGTGTCATGATTTCGTTGGGGTTTGTTTAGAGGATTATCTAACGGAGTTATTTAATGTTTGTTTGGTGGCGGTCGGCGATGGGGTGAGGCGCTCTATAAATAACGGGGTTGCGAGTGTATAAATACACGAGGATCATTGACTATATAAATAAATAAACTGTCGCCAGTATAAATAAATTAGTATGATTGATCCTCGAAAATGCTTGTTATTTCGTTGTTTGATTTTCTTTATTTCGATCGAATATTCGTTGGCAAATATTCATTAAAATTGTGTTATAATATATCGATTGCAATTAATACTTACGTCAATTTTGCTTCAACAGTAAATTTTCTTGTTAGTCAACATTGGTTTCTTTTATTTAATTTCGTTGATCGAATATTTTTCCAATATTGCTTAGAATTTTTTTGCTGGAATATTACTTGAATACTGATGTTATTTTAAGAATGTTTTTTATTTTATTTCATTTTTACTTTGTTGGTTTAATAATGAGGTAATCTTGTGTAGTGGTCGGGTTGTTGGTAAACGTCCGGCGTTGAAAAATCAATGGGGAAGTTTCTTTGGCAGTTCCGAAGTGGCGTAAATTCTGATAAAACTGGCTCAACTTCTCCTAGATATTGTTGGAAAGTTTCTACTCCCCCCTTCCCCTGGATACGGACAAGGATGCCCTAAGTTATAATCCCTGGAGCACACTCGATGTTAAAGCGTCTCGTTCCGGAGCTCCACACCACTGGGGTTTACACTTCCGTGGACTAACATTTGTTAATAACTCGCTCGGAAAATTCTAACATACTTCTGCTCTTGTCGTTGCACTCGTTGGTATTTTTGCCACTCGAGAGTCACGAGGTTTTTTGTGGTCAAAGAGATTTTTTAACATCGCGGGACGCTCTAGTAATTTTTCGTCAGTTTTTCCTCTACTACTAATTCTTTTCCAGTAATTCCGATATGAATGAACGAGGAAATGTCGAATAATATTTGTTCCACTCTGTAATTCAATTTATATTTATTCATTCGATCACTGGTCTCGTCAGAATATATACACTAAATAATTCCGTTAAATTATATTACGATTCTTTTGCATTTTTCATTATTTGTACATATGCGAGCAGACGTAGTTAGAAAGTTCAAGAATTCTAAAATTTAATCACTCAAGTGTTCAATTGTTATTCAAAAATTGTTGTTTCAAAATGCAAGAATTAAATTATTATAGAATCGAAGAATTCAATTGTTCTAGAATTTATACTTCGATATATTAAAATATTTTGGAGTTGCAATATTCAAAAATATAAGAATTCAGATTTCAGAGAATTTAGCAATTCAAATATTCGAGAATATTACCATTCATACATTCAAAATTTTAGGAATTCAAATATACACAAATTTCGGAATTCAAGTATTCAAGAATTTAGGAATTTTAATATACAGAAATTCAAATATTCAACAATTCATGAATTCAAATATCCGAAAATTTAAGGATTCTGCTATCTAATAATCTAAGAATTCAAATATCCATGAATTTCAATTATTACCCAGATTAAATCCAGAAATGTTGCTCAAACGATACAAATAGTATAAGGAAACCGTGAACGTATTCAGGCCGAGTTTCACGAAAGCTTGCAAGGGTTTGACATTGTCAGGATTTTGTATGGCGTGACTTTTAACTTTCAATCGACGCGAAGGAAACCCGCCAAGGGAATCCCTTGTTCTCTTGAGCGATACTAACGTGTTCGTCTGTTCAGCGTTTTCCCTTTGTCGTTCACCGCCATTCCGCAGGGTCACTGAAGCGATGAAAAATCCCAGAAATGGGTTAAACTCCGGAAGAAAGCTCAATCCACCGCTTTGCGTCGCACTTTATTCCATTGTTTTCCGTGGCCAGAGTTACGCTGTGTCTCGGGCCACTTGTGACGAGTAAAGTTGCCGGTAATTAGATTCTTTTGTTCCGCCCTTATAACTGTTACTTTCTGCCTCTACTCCTCTATCTCTATTTCTCTCGGTGTTTTAAGCATTCAACAGAGACCGTCTCGTCTAGGCAACTGAGTGAACCGATCTCTCAAAAGTTTTTTAAAGTGTACCTCTAACGTTGTAAATTGAGGTTCTTCTATTTCTTAATTGCTTATTTGTGTTTTGACACTTTCTGTTCCGGTGATCCTTTAGTGATAATTATTTTTCACCTTTTTTGTTCGTTACGAATTTATCTATTCTTGTTGTTAATTATTTTCTTTTAGTTATTGTTTATCTTTTATCGCTATTAATTATGTATTATCTTAATCATTAATTTTTATAATATCTGCTGAGTGGTTTCTCAAAGATCATTAATCAATAATTAAGCATTTTCTAAGATTTAATGCAATGATCTTTCTTGATTATTGTGTTGAAAGAAAGTCATTCGTTTATCAGAGAACTGGAATATTCTGTTTATTATTGAATCGTACAAAACTTGATATTGGATATTAAACTTTGTAATTAGAGTGCACCAAATTAGATGGTCAATAGTAATTAACTTTCAATTGCAAAGGTTTCAATTATCCATTTACATATAAAACCTAAACATTGAAAATATATTATAATTAATAGAACAAAATTCTATTTAAGAAAACAAATACATATAATTTATCTTGCATGGTTTTTTTCCTATTCTAAACACAAATCCTTAACATTACCAAAACGGCTGCTTCCCTTAGCAAAGGCTTAGCATCATTTCCAGAAATCACTAAAACTGCCAAACGATTCAAAATGTCCCTTTCCTGATTTCCTCTTTTTTCAACTATTGAAAAGATAAAAGCTGAATTATGAGTCAACGAAAAGTCTCGATAGAACCACTCCTGAAGTTCCTGCAGAAGAATTTCAAGAAATCAATTTAACTGCTCGGTAGTTTTAGCGTTAAGTTACTCTGTTAATGCTATCCGAGACTAACACGAGGAACGTAGCCATTGAACGTCACCGTTGTTACCCGCAAAGGAGTTCGGTGTCCATTAAATGACGCCGTTAACAGTTCTACCAATTATAGTTTGATCATTCGCAGAATATACTCGCGAGTTGTTGAAATTAAATTAGTCCAGAGGAAAGTCACTACAATTACTATTAAATGGTCAACCGAGCGAAATGAACGCGGAGAGCACTGGAACGGTTCATTTCACATCAAAGATTTCGTAAATGGCTCTCGAGTGGCATAAGGGCCCGGGTGGCAATCCACTTTATAGTCGGAACGTGTAAAGCAGCGGGTGATTAAATGCTGGCGCGGAAAGAGTCCGTTTAATTCTGTCACGTTCGCTGTCGTCGCAGGAACCTGCATACAGTTGGTATAACGAATATAACGTATGGCACAGTTGAACCCCGATAACTCAAACTTGTACAATCGTTGATCGAAAAGTTACTGCCAGCATTGATGTCATCTTTTAGAGGCTCAGCAGTGAATCAGCCGTCCGATTGTTGTCTGGCCGTTTCCGCGTATTAACTCTGGTTAACTCCGTTTAACGAGTGTCACGTTATCTCAAAACGCAACATGGTACCAACTTTTTCAACGATGGATTATTTATTTTTTCAGGGGAACATTTAATTCATCTTCGTTACGCTGTAGTTTTTCGTTAGAATATACTGGTGATGCATTTCCTTCGCGTTTGTTAATTATACTCGTTATCTTTAAACGTAATATGGTACTAATTCTTTCACCGATGGTTTATTTATTTTTTCAAATGATCGTGTAATTTTTCTTGTCGTTGTAGTTTTTCGTTAGAATGTATTGTAGATGCATTTGCCCTGAGTTTCTTGAGTATACACGTCATCTTCAGACACAAAACGGTATTAATTTTTTCAACGATAAATTAACAATTTTTTCGTTTTCCTTTCATCGTAAACATAATTGTTTCATTGTTCATAATTCGATAGACAAAGCAGAAAATTTCCAGTCGAAAAAATTAAATCGCATTTATATTTGTTACATTGTATTAAAAATTTTTTTATTAGTCTTTTATGATATTAGAGCAAGAAGTCAATCATTTTTCTGTGTATATTTAATAATTTCATAAATGTTTATGGAGTTTTATAGTTACATAAATTTATTATTTGCCTATAAAGATTATTGTCTGTAATATGAATCTATAAGTGATATATTTTCCGTGAGGATATAATATTCTGTTAATGACATTCTTAATACATTTTCTCGCTAATAGAAGTTACTTCATTATTTTCTTCTATTCAGCATTAATTACATAAATTATTGTAGTACCTTACACGCAATGATATACCGGTTCACGGCTGTAATTGTGATGTGCATTCAAACCTTCATTAAGAAATCTCGAGCCATTAATCACTGACGTTTAAAAGACTATTAAATAACCCTTACTAGGTGAAGCGTTAATCGATGACCCTATCGAAGACCGTCCCTGTAATAAATCTCTTCCTGCAGCACGCGCTGAAAAATTGGAAACAATGATAAAATATGTGTTTTTTTCCACTACGACTCAAAGATAAATGAATTGTCGGAATTACAATCGCAGCGAGGGCAAAATGTAAAAATATTGCCAGGGATTTAAATGACTTCCGTCAGAGTGGTACTTAAGCTTAATTAAAAAATTACTAATTGTAATTGGAGTTGGGGATTAAAAAGTAAGCATTGTAATCAGGTTTTATTTGGAAAAACTAATTTAGCTGTGTAATTGCTCGACACAGGTTCCATGTTTCTCTTAAACGTTTTGTTGACTTAAAAATAATGCTCTTCCTTTATTTTAATTGCTTTTGCAATTCTGATTTCACTGAGTCCGAGATATTCATTTTATTGTATCTATATTAAATCTATGTTGTGATTGAAATATTTATTATATGAGTTTTAAATATAAATAAACATTATACATTGAATATATGTATTTTTATTTTAATACATTAAAATGTTTTGCTATTATTAATCTACATATATACGTAGGACACAGAGATAGATATTTCGATATAAATATTATATACATATAGTACATGCTATTATAAACTTCAGTTTAATTGACTATCATAATTCGACCCTTTTAATTTCGTATTAGAGCTATAATTATTATGCATCTGCTAATATTCAACGAAGTGAATTATTCAAGTATAAATCACGGCCTTTGGACTATCATTTCACAGAGCGTGGAGCACTGTTTAAGTGATCTCTATTTGGAATTCCGTCATTTCGCCCGTAATAACTTGATAATGTCACCAGTGAGATAAATTCATACGTGATTATCCACTAGATTACACCTTGTCTCTAAAATTCCGCTGTTTCTGCCGTGCCGTTTCACATATATCGTTGCGCTTATGATGGCTGATATAGATTGGACCGTTATCAAAGATATCGTCGTCGTTTCCGTGATAAATTGGTCGACGTTGCTCGCGCTTGTGCCCCGTCGGTGTTTCTCTCTATTTGTCTTCTATTCACTTCTGGAAACTTTATTCTATTTCCTTTTCTGGAAACTCACACAAGAGCCACTAATTAAAGGAAATATTTACACTAGTCGATCGCCCACTGCTTTACACACACACACTCCATAATTTTTGACTTCAGTAGCACATCTTTCTTCTTTTCCTACACTGTAATGTAAACAATTATTATTTTCAAGATTTATAACCTACGGTTGGAAGTTTTCTATTTAGTATTTCTTTTTTTTGTTGAGATTAGACAATCTGTTTCTAGAGAAGCTCTCTTTATTTTATTATATCAAACAAAATTTTCTCTACCTTTTAATTTCGTTATTATATTAAATACTACTTTCTTTGCCTTTGCAGATATTTTTTGCAACAAATTCGTTTACGTCATACGTTTCTTTAATTAATGAGAATATTCTTTGTTTATAATATTCTTTATTTTAAATATAATTTCCTTTGCTTCTACCCTTCGTCGTCAAAAAAAATTTTTTTCATTTTAAATTCTCTTATTTCAAGAAGATATTCCTTGTTCATGAATTTCGTTACTTTAAATACGACCTCCTTTGCTTTTAAATTGCTTCGTTTAAGAAAAAACTATTTTTGCTCATAAATTCTTTTATTTAAAGAAAATATCCCCCGTTCCGAAATTGCTCTATTTTAAGTTCAGTTTTTTCTTATCTACAACGTCGTTTGAAGAAATATTTACATTTGACCGTGTATTCTTCTATTCAAGAAACAGTTTCCTTACGCATAAATTTCTTTACTTTGAATACGATTTTCTTCACTTCTAAAGATCCTCATTTCAAACATAATTTCCATTTGCTCATAAATTCTTCTGTTAATAGAAAAAATTCCTTGTTCCTAAATATGTTCATGCTAACCACAATTTTCTTTGTTAGGTGACTTCTGCATTGCAATTAAAATTTTTTTGAATTCTGACTTTCTTCATTTTAAATTGTAGACACGTCGAATAAGTTCGTACTGAAGTGTTGCTGTGTGAACGCTTTGGGAATTCCCTGATCCGGTTGCATCGATAAGGGTGCGAGTTATCTAATCTAAAGGGCGCGGGAAGCAAAGCGGGGCGAAAAGGGTGCACGGCTGATCGTGTGCATGCAACGGGCTCGTTAATCGTCTTCAGCAAGGTCGGAAAAACAGCGCGGAATGAAAAACAAATCCAGGTCGAAATTGTTTCGTGTTAGTTCTATCCTGCAAAAAGTTCTAGCGGTTTCTGCAACTTGTTTCGCCGATAAATTGAATTTCGTTGTTGATGAACAGTTCACGGTTGAGTGGGTGGATATTTTTTGGCATTAACAAGATAAAGATTTATGGACAAATTGTGTTACTGAATCTGTTAAAGATTTATATAATTCTTTAGCACTTTTTGAAATTGATTATTTAGTATTTGATATGTCAATTACGTGAAAAGAATGCAACTCGTGTTTATTTTTTTTAATATTTCTGAAGTAATGAATAAATGTTAAGAAATACTGAATGGATGTAACAAATATTTTTTACTATAGATTTTGAAAGATCAGGTGTACTTTTCTGACAAATTATTAAATCAATTGAGTTGTCAATGTATACATTTAAAATGTGACAGTAGTTGAAGTAAAATTTTTGTAAACGCGTTATACCAATTGATATCAAGAGATTCAAGTCATTTATTTTAGATTTTTAATGGTTTAGTTGTTACAGAAGCAAGTAGCTTGAAAATATTTAACAAAATTTGACAATTCTCATTAGTTAGTTTTTAAAATAGAAAATATACAATTTGAATCCCAGAATATAAAATAGATACTTTAAATTTTAAAATAGGAAATAGATAATTTATATTTGAAAATAGAAAATAGCTAGCTGAAATGTTAACATGGGAATTGTATAATTAAAATTTTTAAATATAGAATAGATAAGTTAAAATTTTAAATATAGAATATACAATTTAAATTTTAGAATATAGAATATATAATTTAAATTTTTACATGTAGAATAGATAATTTAAATTTTGAAATATAGAATATATGATGTTGATGTTAAAATATTAAACTGACAATTTTAATTTTAAGATATACAACAGACGAAAGTAATATCAAAATGCCAAGAATTTGATTTTTCTTCCTCAATTCTGGATTCCAAGGTTTTCATTGTAATAGGATTCCCAACGAGATATTTCACTAACTAATTTATAATTACACCGAGTGTTATCTGGAAGGATTAAAATACTTCTCGTGAATTTCATTTTCATTATTCGGATTGTTTCAACTTTCGGATGCGATGCTCAGGCCGGTTCTCTGCAACATTTGACCTAAATATGAAGATGGTAATGAAATAAAGTAAGAGCAGTAAAGTTCGAGTAAGAATGGATAGTTAATCTGTCTGAGCAACCCTTTGTCAAGGAATTAGCTACGTTTCTTCTGTACATGGATGAAGTAGTGAAATCACGTTTCAATTAGGAGCAGGCAGTTTAAATAGAAGATGGTTAATGAATGCAATTTAGGAGCGGTGCATTTGCCAATGATGAATCTTCGTTTTGCTTCTGTTCAAGCAATGATTAAATTACCATTGAAATGAATGATCTGCTCGTTGCGCAAACGGAAGATGGGTAGAGGAATTATAAAAGGTCGTTTCTGCAGCGTTCCTCCTTTTTTGTTGTAACTGAGAAAGTAATTAGAGAAATACTTCATCGTTAACTCCTACAATTAATATTGCAGTAATTAATGGGGCAACGCGTCTCGTTTATTATCCTTGTCCGTATTTATTCTGAACATTCTGGTTTCCATGCTGTGTCATCCTGGATGATGGATCTTTATTGTAACTAATCACTCTGTTAATCAGATGATTAAATTATTAATTAAGTAGACTACTGATGTTTAGGTTGTTTCCCATTTTTATGAGTCTATTCAGAGATTATATTTTGTGATAGTGTTTCGACTGTAACTATAATATAATGAATACGAAATAGACTAAATGTATATTATACTTATTTAGAAAAGTTTCAAAGTAACAGTATAATATTATATATAAACATGAAATTCGACAATATCTTTATACGTTGTACTATCTAATTGTTTTATAATATTATAATTCAGTATTTTTTCATATTTTAACAACTTAATTTATTTTAATATAATATCACCTCGGTATTATTAAATACTGTTGTATTACCTTTTTTAATATTATAGTAACTTACTATTGTGCAATATTTTGCTATTCGTCAGAACTTTTTATAAGCTATAAATATTCCAAAATCATTAGTTTACAAATCTTACAATACCTCTGTTACTTAATATTACAACAACTTATTGCTATACAATCTTTTACTATTCGTTTACCAATAAATTATTAGTCATAAATTATTTTACTAATATTTTAGTAACTTGCTGCTCTACCAATATGTTACTATTGATCGAATTCTATTATAAGCTACAAAACTTAATTCACTTTAATATAATAATACCTAAGTATTATTAACACGTTAAGCGCCACGAAAATCTTAAGCGTTTTCTCATAGAGTTTGTCTTTTGTAGCAATGAAAAGTAGGAATAATTATGAACTGTTTGGCGTTGCTACGTTTGCGTTACACTATTATCAACTTAGTTGCCTTATTAAACATTTTTATTTCAAATCGGTTGTCTTATATGTCACGATTGTTTTTTAGTCATTCAGAAACGTCAGTCACCAGTGGCTGACATGGCGCTTAACGTGTTAAGCATTGTAGTATTTCATTATTACTTGTTTCTTAATATTATACTAACTTGCTGCTGTACAATATTTTGCTATTCATCAGAGATTTCTGTAAGCTACAAATATTCAAATAACACTGTACTAATTATCATTCTATTAATCTCTTCATATATTTTCATTGTTTGATTTTTTCACTTTTAGCCAGAGTGAAACTCACAGACTTCATGATGGCGGGGCTAGGGGGTTGCGTATCGACGATGGTCGACGACGAGGAGCAAGAGGAACTCCGTTGCACAGGAAGCGACGTCGAGATCGAGGAATACACGGACACAGAGGAGTCGCCATATGTCGCTTATCAGACCACAGATAAGCTGTTCGATACGGACCGAGTGGCATGGCAAAAATTCAGCTTCGTCGCTACCCTCCTGGCCGTGGTCGTGTCCATTACCTTTTTGATTATCACCTATCCCCTTTATCTGGAGAGTGTCAGCACCGTTTCCAGCGCGTACACAGGTGCCTAGCATGAATACACCTGATAATTTTAATTGTACTCGTTCAATACCTACGTTAATTATTCCCTGATGCAATCTGTATCGATTGTTCAACTGCACTATTTCAATTCTCTTGGAATTTATTGCGGATTATGAATAGAACTATTATTTTGTCACTTGCGATTGGTTAAGTATATTTACAGGACTTAAAGTTTCATTATATTAGTTATTTACTGGTACTACCGAACATTTAATATGATCGATATGTAATGCCTGTAGAAATTGAAGCAATAGGTTATTTTCGCTTTTTTTGGACATTTATTACAGTATTGAAGTGAAACTATTTATTTTCAAGGTCATTTCGAATATTCAGTGCTTTTAAGTTATCAATAATTGTCATACAGGGAACTGGAAACCAGCCATTTTAACTGATACGTAGTTCTAGTGTTAATAGTTTGGTGTATGTATAAACTATATTTATAATTTTGTTATCTGGAATGGCATCAATGTTGTTACTACGTTGTAATAATAATATTATTTATTCAGTATTTAAGGTGCAAATTATTTATATGGTAATATTCTAAATATAAATAGTAATAATATTTCAGTAATATATTACAGTAATAATAATACTATTATTATTTGTTTATATAGATGGAGTTGAATTAATTTCTCTATAGCAAAATTAGTTCTTTTCGATTTGTTTATATATTAATATTACAAATATCACTAGCAGTAGGATGTTAATAATATTTCACAACAATAATAATGACAAAATTATTGTTATTCGTAGGTACAGATAGAGTACAATTAATCTCTCTACATTAACGATACCCATATTTCACTGAGAATTGACCTGTTCCATTACTCTTGCAATTTCAGGACTCCTTTTTACCGCCTTGAGCTCCACATGCATTCTGGGGATAGCGTGTTTCGTCGTGGGAAGGGTATCGCCTCCGCCGGCGTTAATTCCCAACAGTATGAGAATCAAGATACCCCGCTGCGCTCTGCTCAAAATAAGTTTCGTCTACGCCCTCTCCGGTATCCTGATCACCCTCTGCTTGGACCAGAGCAGGGTGCTCTGTCATCTTCAGGACCCCATCAAAGGCATCACCCTGGTCTTCTCCCTGGTCTATTATTTCTTCTTCTGTCGAAAAAGTAAATCCCCCTGGCTTGAATTTCTGTTTTTCTTTTTTTATTTAATTCTTCGCCCGTAGAAGCTATTATCTTTCTCTTCGACGACGACGAGCGATCGATCTGTCTTTATCTGCTTCTAACGACTGGCTTTCGGGAATCGGGACAAGTAGTCATAATAAGGAACGCTTGTTTCAGTGATGAGCTTGCAGCGGATCTTCTCGAGCACCACGATAATTGTCGGACTGTTCATAAGCGTCGACTACGGGCTCTGCGATGAGTTTCGTTGCAGGGGCAGAGAAGTTTCCGCTCATACGGCCAGCGTGAGAGGATCATGGGGCGTCAGGGCCATTTGGACGTTCGTCTATGTGGGCGCGCTAGCTGCGTTCGCTATGTTCTTCACTTTGTTGGAGGGCCACTATACTACCGAAGTAAGGAGTCGCTTAGAAAATATTTTATGCTGAAGTTCACAATGAATCTTTCGTTAATTCTTTAACACTAGATTTATAGACGTTCATTGTAGAATTTCTTGGATTTTTTTCTAGTGTAACTGGGTGCTCAGTGAACTGATGCTCATGTAGGTGCTGAAAATTAGAGATTTAAGAGCGAAGAATTAGGATACGTGTAGTTGCAATCGGCTATATACAATAGGTTATAGTGTTTCATGTCCGTCAGATTGGCGAGTTCAGCGAATCCAGTGTTAACTAATTAACTGTGGATTTCAGTTTGAATAATCTCCAATAGGGGGTGTTATAAGATCAAAGACTAAAATGTATACTCGTCAGAAGTAAGGCAAATGCATCTATAATATATTCTAACGAAAAATTACAGTCAAACGAAGAATAATTACACATTTATCAGAAGAAATAAATAATTTACCGTTGAGTAATCAGTACCATTTTGCATTTTAAGATCACGTGTATACTCGTCCATCGCAGTTAACTGGTTAAGGACATTATTCATTTTTTGTTATAAAAATACTTCTTCATTGTTACCAATAATCTTATTCCGAAATTGTTTTCTCATTTTAGCAACAAAACATGTGTCAGATAGTGGCGAGTCAGCAGAGTTCCTTTCTTTACACTGTGTCACGTCTGGTGTCATCAAGGGACATCAGACGACGGGGTTCTGAGGAAGAAGGAGGACGCCTGCTTCACGTGACAGATCCTGACCCCACCATCAAGCCGAAACACATTCCAAAGCCTCCAATTTTGGAGACCCTTTTCTACATCCATCTAATTGCATTTTTCGCCATCTTGTCCATGTGCTGGCTGGACACATTGCCGGGAATAGGCAGGGTGAGTCATTGTTATAACTGTTGCTCACCCTTGTCTGATGAAAGAAACGACGTTTGATTAAAAACTGACTAACATTAATATTAAAGATAAATTAATGATCTGATAAATAGCATTTTAAATATATTGTAGTAAATAATATATTATCTTAAATATATTATAAAAAGTAAATAATATTAAAAAAGAAATACTAAATAATATTAATAAATAAATTCAGTCAGATTTTCTTCATTGGTTAATGGTTCCCAGCTTTTTCTTGAAGATTTACTTATTCTATACATTTCTATTGAACAACAAATATAATTTTATTCGTTGTTTCTAGGGTCTGTCACCAGTGGAACTCTACCAAACACTAGAGCATGGCCTGACGTGCCATTTCAAGAATCCCGAGTCCTGTTCCAATATAGCAACCCACGGTTGGACCTTTCTCATCGCGTACACAGTGTTTTCCATCTCTGCGCTGAATTTCCTGTCAATGAACGAGAGTGCCGTCTTCACAGTTGCCACAGCCACAGTCTCTCTTCCATTATCTGGCATCTGGTGGAGTATTTACAAAATGGATATCGGTGTTCACGGTGGTAAGCTTGTTCTCACCACTGTATGTCTTACAGAAATCAATTGACTTGAATGGAACATTATGTTAATATTTTGAGAAATCCTTCAGGTTTCATCTCATGGTCACCCGGGGTCACTGGAGAATTAATCTGCGCCCTCCTCGGTCTGCCAGTGGTCCTCCTGGGTCTTGGCCTCTTAGTGAGGTCGCACTTCCGAGATTCCCAGCCATGTTACCTAACAATGCAGCCACCGGACGTGCAGTACGAGCCATCTCAGAGATGAATCTCCAAGAGATAATCAACCGAAGATCTCAATGTCACCGCCCTTGAGGATTCTTCTGAAGCAACGTTATCGCTGGCTACAAGTGTCTAATCCTGGAGCTTACAGTCACCTCGACATCACTTATGCTCTCTTTGGTCTGATGTCAATGTTTTATAGAAAGTACGATAGAAGAGAACATTAAGGAGGGAAAAGGTGAAAAGAGACAAAGACATGCAATCGGATCGAAGCTCCAAGATTAAACCACTGGAAAAATCGTTGTGGAGACGCTTTCAGAGATGATCGAAGTTGACTGGGAGCTGACCTAATTAATTCTGAATGCAACCGCTGGCTCAGACGTGGTCTCGAGCCAGCGGGACGAAAAAAAGCGAGAGCTTTTGCTCGATTGAATCGATTGGACTAGTTTTCCGGTCGGTGATCTCCGTCTCGCTCACTCCCGTCGACGAAGTTTCGTCTCTGGAAAACTTTCCTGTAAAGTTGTGATAGGTGATAGGCGGTTGGGTCGTGTGGGTGGCGCTTGTAGGTTAGGAGGGGTTTGGAGGCGACGATAATATTGATTATCTCTTGCACACGAAACAGAACAAAAGGGGAGCGGAGAAGGAAGGAGAAACGCGATCGATGTTTCCTATGTATTGCCAAGGCGCGAACATCAATCCGTCTAGCCGGAACCGTTATTGCCAATTTATATTTTATTTTGATAACGAGATATATTTCATATTTTCGAGGCCGTTCGCGGATTACATATGTCGTACAACTTACGTGTTAGTGTATGCGAGCGCGCGTGCGTGCGAGGGAGAGAAACAATAAAATACAGAGACACAGAGAATATTTTGTACACGTGGCTAGGACACGCTCATCGCGTATTAGGTACAGGCGCAATTTTTCCATTCGCCAATCGAGAAGTCGTAACAGTCCTCTTTCTGGCGGGCCACTCATGACTTTAAACTCTCTAGCCTTCTTCGGGGACGTGTGCGGTCTTTAGTTTCTTTGTTTAGGGGATGGTGTTTATTAATGCCAATTATACCATGAGGTTTTTGTCGTAATTAGTTTGTGTACTCTAGCGTTGTTCGTAATTAAGAGATGTTTCTGAAACAGTATGTCACTGTTGGAAATGCAGTTCTTGAGCAAAACGTAGAAATTAGTGGTGATATTTTGCATGTTAGTTGACTATTGTCCATGTGGTTTGGATCATCCTGCCTATACTTTATTTTTTATTTTGTTTGTTTTACTGACTGAATGATTATACTTGACTCTGAACCACTGGGGAGTAGCGCATGATTGGGTCAGTTTTCTTGGGTTCCACTTATACCTACTGCATGGAGACTTGTTTTACTGTGTGCTGTGTTTGTGTGTGTTTTTGGTGCTTGTGGTTCATTATGGTTTCCTAATACTGCTTAATTGTCCAACTGCTTCCTTCCCTGCTGATTCAACGAATTGCGTGTCCAACGTGACAGACATATTTCAGGAGTAATCTTTCATTAATCGTGTCACTATTGAACATAACATATAAATATCAGTCAATACTTAATCCACACACGTCTCACATTTAGTCTCTGAACTGTTAAGACTTCCTTAATTTTTGGTAGCTCCGCTATTGTAGATCCGAGGTAGACGATTTAAGAGCATATTTCTGTATAGTGTATCGTTTCTCGACTTCTCAAATAACTGCTCCTCCTTCTCCCCGGTCTGATACAATTTCAAATTTAACACGTTCGCTGCCAGCGTCATGTGGTTCTATTAATTGTTATTCCAAATTTGTTCCGAGGAACAATTAATTCTCTTCCGTTTAATATTGTAACGCGTAGTACAATGTGCAGAGACTCGAGATTTCTTCTCTTGAATATTATGTATATTTTGTAAAAAAAAATGTACTTTATTTGACACGTTGACTACCACAAGAGTTTTTAGTTTCTATAATATGTATATCCTTTTGTGACAATGATGAAATGACATTAGAAACAATTATTCACGATTTTATGTCACAGTACAGATATTACATTATAGTGTAGTTATTTATGTTACTCAACATCTTTATTCAACGTCAATTTTTCTTATCATAACTGTTCTCGAGGAATTTGGAAGTTCCTGTCATCTGATCAGTAGTGGTTGTCAACGTGTTAATACAATATTGTAACAGTGGAGACTGTTATCGAAACATATGCTGGTAGCGAATGGGTTGAAAAAAAGGTATACCCAATGCTGAAGAGAACTGTCCGCGTATACAAGAAATCAAAAGTTCAAAGTAACGACTCAGAGCAATGAACGAACGAAACGTAATTCGTGCCAAATAAACTCGAGTGCCGAACTCGACCGTAGCCATTAAGTTACTCAGCCCTATGATAACCGTAATTGAATGTTATATTCGTGTCGCGTCGACGTAGAATTGTTGTTGAGCGAGGAACGTAGCAAAAAGGTGAAAAGAAACCAGAAAAGAATGAATATTCGTTGTTGGAAGTAACGTCAATCATATTCTATTCGGGGAAAGCTATACGTCCACAATTTTTTACGACAGTTGTAAACGATTCCATTTAACTAACTAGAGGCTACGATAATGACGAGAAAACAATAACAAACGTAAGTAAACTTACTACCGCTGTCATTAACAACAGTATAGTCTCAACATATAATCGTATTTATTAATGAGAGACAATGTAAGCAAATGGTAACAAACTATATATTATATATACTAAACTGTTTCAACATGTAGCGAGGATTTTTTCAGAACGGAAAAAATTCTAAAGTTTTATATATATTAAAAGTCGAAGCGGGAAAAGCCGGTATTTTAACAGCTCTGAGTTGCGCGCATAAATACATAGCCGTAGCAATTTGTTTGTTAACCTCTTCTCTTATAATATCGTGCCACAATCACATTCGACAAACTCAGTTGTTATTTATATATATTTGATCCATATCATATTTTAATATTCTTATCTATTGTCAATGTTTTAATTGTTTTATTATTAATCTATTCATTTTGAAATCTATTAATTAGACTAATCAATCTTTTAATTGCTCTATCATTATCCCATCAGTGATCTACCATTAATTCATTATTAATATTTTAATTGACCCATTATCAATCTATGTATTAATCCTTTCACTAAACATGGACACTGAAGAAGCCTTATATTTCAATCTACTAAATTAATACGAACAAATCAATTCCATCGAACACTGTTGTCAAAGATATCATAGGACAAGGGGTTTAAAGAAAAGCGTCGCGATTCCGCGCGTCTTTCCCGCTGTTTTTACTGCGTACCACGCGACGGTCAAGTCACCCAGGCCCGGTCGACATTGTTTCACAGAATGTTGTTCAATCTCGCGCTTGTTGTTATTGCCAAAAATAAAAAGAAAAATATCCGGTCGCATGAAAACGCGGGCCACGTCCCCGTTTCCGATGGCAATTTATTTTTTTATCGGTGGGCCTCGGCGGGTTGATCGTCCCATCTGAACCGGCCGGGTCACTCGTTTTTTTTCCTCGTTGTATTTTGCATGCCAACATCCCGGTCGGTTGCAGTGGAATATTTTTATAATGGGACCGTAGCGCGGTCCCAAACGGTTACAACGTGAGCTGGGCCGCGATGCTCACGCGGAAGCGTTCCCGCGTATCTTTCAGATAGACGCTTTACAAACATTGAATACTATTTACCAGCGATCTGCAGTGCCGTTGTAATTCTATTGGGCGTCTTCCCGGATGTTAGGACGAATATTTATATTTTACTTATATACTATTTGTAATTTCTTTTTCCTTTTCTTTTATTTTGTACCGTTATTATCGTTACTCTATTTTATTTTTATTTCACTTATTATTTCTTTCCATTTTATTTTTATTTTACTCTTTATTTTACTTCCTTTTTAGAGAAAGCTACAAATGTTAGTACTTACGTGACACACGTGTAGAATATAATAATGTACATTAACGTTATATGTACTCGTATGTAACGTACGTAATTTGTATAATTGTTTAACGATACGTATATATGGTGGATATACTATATATTTACTTTATATGACGTATGATATGTAGTTTGCAAATATGTATACAAGTATGTTGTATGTAATACGTATATATCAGTCATTCAATTTATTAGGCTGTGCAGAGAGTCTTCTCGTTTCGTTTTTAATATGATGTTTATCTATATAGTTAAGATGATTGACGGTTAATATATTATTGACATGATATAGATATATTTAATAGAGTGAATATTCTTGTTGAATTTCCTCGAGTGGTGGGATTACTTTCTTGCCAAGCTGAACTATGTAGGCTAAGAGCATGTGTGTCACATGGGAACAAATAAATTCATTTTTTAATCGTTACACCTTTAGTTCTATGTATGTTCATTTCGTTTGTATTTATTGAACCGAATTAAAACTGTATTTTGCAGGTGATTAGATTAAGTGATTCTTCTAGTCTGATTTCAGTTTTCCTTAGAGGTTCAAGTGTAGCTTTAGGTTGGCGGTACGGACACGCGAGTGATTAAAAGTTAGCTCAAAGTGAGTCGTCCAAGAGCAAAGAGTACCTCATTGTAGAGTGACAATGGAAAATGTTTGTAGAACGAGCGCATTGCCGTCGCCGGTATTTGGATTCGTTATTACGCTCAATATACTTACATACTGTATTCAACTATTATGTACCGGATTATAAATGTGTTAATACGTGCATATATATACTTATATAAAAGGAGGTGTTTCTTAATTAAAACCCATCCGCCTCTCATCCCGTCCTCGTGTCGTAACAAGATCCTTTAAGCCACTGGCTTCGAGGAGGGTACACGAGTTAATTAAGCTGCGGCCACTAGAAACTTCGAAGTGCAGCCAAACGTGTTAAGCATACCTGGAGAGTACTTACACACTTTTGAAAAAAACTCATAAAAACCATTGTCCAATATAGTGGATTTTCTTTTACATTGTGTTCTTCTTACAGGATTATTAATTAGTACAGAAAGGAATTGTTATTTGGTACAGTTCTGTATTGTTTATACATTTTTGTGTACACAATATAATTAATGATGCGTGAAATGAGAAATTACAGACTAATAATTTAACAACATGTAAGGTCGCATAAAAAGATGAGGTTACTTAACAGACATGTGTATCATGTCTAAATGATTTTCTCAAGATTCTGAAATGTTGATTAATATTTATATTAAGTATTTAATAATATGGAATATTAATTATCTTCCTGTTAGACTAAAGTTCTAGTGTTTCATATATGATAGTGCATTAATATTTATATACAAATTTCTTATATACAATGGAGTGAATCTATTGTTAACCCTTTGCGAACGAACGTCGACATCTTGGTGATATGAAATGTTAATATTTGGAATACTAAGTTGCAAACGAATGATTTACTCACTTGAATAGCAAGAGATCACTGTATAGTTTCCTTTTTTTCTATTGTTTAAGTATTCGAGATATAATTTAGTTTCATATGTTGTCAGCTTTGTGCACTTTAAAAGAGTTTTCGTCCGCAAAAGGTTAACATTGTTGGTAATATATTACAAGTGCTTATAGTGTAGATTATATATAACGTTATAAAATAACTTGTTCAACATTTTCCTTTCTAGCTTGAATACTTACAACTTCAAAACTTGCAATCTGGCTGTTTTGTGGGTGTCGCCTATTCTTTCAGAGAGTTTCCTGCCCCCAATAATAAAATCTTCGTACCTTACCTCGCGTATAGTCTCAAAATTTAGTTTATCGGCAATTCGTTGACTGTAGTTTGACAAGAACACGCCGAATATCAATTTTGGTATCACTTCCTCATTGACGGTCTCATTGTCAATAGGGCTTCTCTTCGTGGTGCCATTTTCAAGGCCTCTAGCGAATTCTATGCATTTCTTCACGATCTCACAACCGATTCCTCTACCTTGGTACCGTGGATTCGTGCCTAAATAAAATAATTCCATTGCACCGTCAACATTGTACTTCTCAAAAATGTCGACGCTGCTTTCCAACTGTAATGAAAAATATGGCAAAATGAAGTATGGCGTTCGAAATTATTAGAGGAAATTAAAATAAATTATTAGCTGCATTCTAAGCGAAACAATTTCAATTGGATTTAATAATTCTTTGAATAACTATTGTTCTCTCTCTTATTAGAAAATACGGTTTTGAACAATATTTTATAAAGGTAAAAAATATTAATATTTTGTTCGTATAAATGAAGCTACATTCTCCGTTATAGAATTTCTACGTCCATTTGAATAATGCGAACACAGCACTATCTAAGAAACTGTCAGACAAGAACTACTATGAATATCTAATGTTGATTCTTCAGCAGTTTAAAATTTTCCAGAGTTAGATAACGAAATGTCGTCTGTTGACGTCGTTATTATCGTTCGTGTTACTGTATAACTGTTTCTGTTAGCCTATTTCTTCGCATTATAGTTTACATTATTATCTTTATCATTTGTCAATCACTAGATTCCTGACAATAGATCAATCCATTGACAGATAGACTCCAGTCTATATCATTCTATTGATTATCAAAAGGAAATCATTCGAAAACTACTGTGTCCTCGTACAATTTCAATTAACTGACAGTAAAAAGTCAATTAGCATCAATCTAGCCAATTAAACCGTGAGACACTTACGTCACCGAGAAACTTCACTAATTCCTGGCACGATTTCTTCTTTAGATTTTCTCCTATAAAGTCATCCAGTGGGTCCTTAACACCTTCCCTCGGTCTAGCCTTCAATCGCATAGGAACATTTCGTCAGAACTAATCCTCTCATTAGGTTCGAAGTAAATTAGGACTTGCATGTATCTTAGTAAATGCCACAGCTCCCAGTTCCCCGGTTTGTTTGTCAACAGCTACGATCGTGGAACCGTCCTTTATGATTTCTCTGAAGAGTAACTGGATCTCTTCTGGAGCACCTGGCTCTTCGAACATCCCCATCCCTATCGCTAGGCACTCCTGCTTCATGGTCTCCGCCTGGATCATCATTGCCTCCTGGATTTTGTCCTTGGTCATTAACTTGTAGTCCAATTGACAGTCATTTTGGGACATGACGGATTGTACTGTGAATGTTCATGTTACCATTAAGAGATTTAAGGGACTTTAATTAATATAATGAAAATTCGTTTAAATATTAAAAGAAATTTTTTTATTACCAACAATGGGTATTAGAAAAATTGGAATTGACTATAAGTTGAAAATAATTATTAGAAATATTAAAATTGTAGATTAATTAATTACTGGAAACGTAATATTATATTGCACTTAGATGATGGTTAGGAACATTGAAGTCATTATTAACTATCACGATTATTAGTGAATTTGAGATTACAATTATTTCGAGTTATTATAAAAATTGAAATTACAATTCCCTTCACTCATCATTGTGAAAATTGAAACTACCTCAAGTAATTTGTCGATATATTAAAATTACAATTATCCTCTATCATCGCCAGAAAAGTTGAAATCTCAATTGATTCGAATAATCCGTAAAACCATCGAAATGTCAACTGTCTATAATAACAGTTACAAAAACTTCCATCAGAACTAGATCAATATATCATCAATTAAATGAACATCTACGTTCTTTGGTTTCTGACTTTCGCTAATAATTCCCTGTCCGCATTACATTTCGTTATGTCAACATAAATCACTCGGTTCACTGGCATCGACGGCTTCATCACCCAAACGAATCTCGCCCCATGGTATCGGTTACCTTTTGTTATGTGTGACCGACCACGCTCGCTAATGGACGCCGAATAAGAAGCCAACTTCTCCCGGCGTCAACTAGTATGCGACTGGACTGGCGATGATCCGTTTGCGCGCCTATTCCGCGACACAATGGAACTAGATTCGAGCCGGCTAATGCACGCGGCACTCGCACAGACACTATCTAGCTGCGTCGATGCTGTCGCTGTCTTTGATAATAAGATCTTCCCGGTGCATCCGGCGCATATTAGGAAGCCGTCTGTGTTATCTGTTGAAACGCGATTACGCGGTCTCCTATCTCCGTGCTTCGGCCTTGTTGTCCGTTTAATTTTAGACTGTTCACGTAGTTCGGACACCTTTCTATCGATCGAGCTGTTCGGCGGGGAGGTAGTCAAATTTCCATAGATTTCAGTATAATCTCTTTATTCACAATACTTTCGCGGTAACCAGGATCTGGAACACGTAATCACGCTCTTTCGAATTATTCGTGACGCTATCTTGACCATCCAATCGGCCACTCTGTTAAGGCAAGGTCGTATCACTGCAGACTACACGCGAGATGTCAATTTTAGTTATACAACTAATAAGTATGGTTATGATAATATTGTACAATTCAGTTGATGGAGCATTGTGTATGAAATACTTGCACTGTTATTTCTTAGAGTATGCTTCATCGCGTTTCTTTAAATCGTTTCTGAATACAACATTAATAATGTTGGATCGAATATTCTCTAGCAATGCTGTGTTCTTTTGAAATGTCTTTTAGGCCAAGAAGTGTACATTATGGTTAGTGTCAGTTCGGATCCTATAGTGTCTTTGCTACTAACGCACAGTTAGGATGTTCGTCCCCTATCCTCTCGCTGAATGTTTTTCCATCGAAATGGAACTCTTGGTAGCTGACTCTAGCCAGACTCTCGAATCCGCATTTTCTAGCGATTTTCTGGGAGTAATTGGAAGTCATGATGGCGGATACTATACTGGGCACCAAGGACAGGTTGTGTATGTCATCATTGCCGTTGATTTTGACTGGTGTCTTGACTAGTTTCCCTCTTTTCAGCTGTTTCGCTACTTCTATCGACGTGGTCACTAGCGTCTCCCCTATTCTTCGCTGCTGCTTGTCGGGCAGCGTTGCCAAGAACATGATCTCGAAGATGCAGTCCGTGTTGTAGTGCTTGAATAGGTTTATTCGGGAGTCCACGTTGATCATGAAGTCCACTAGACATTTAGACGCCTTGTGCTTGCAGTTTTCACTGAAGACCTCGAACGCAGTTTTCTCTGATGCACTTCTGAGCACCTTAAGAAAAAGGAAGTATATTTAGTATTTATATCATTTCTGTTCACTTACATTTTATTTGCTTGATATTTTAATATAATTATTCTAATATAATTATAATAATTGTGTATAGTTTGTATAATATATTAATATTAGATGCATGATTTACAATTTGTGTTAATAAAATATTAATTTATTATTGTGTATTATATTATAACTATAGTATAATTTATATTGTCACGTCGATACGGATGTGAACTTCTTTCGTGTACAACCACAACCTCATCAGATCATTCGAATTGACTAATCTACGATTATTCTTGTTCCTCATATTATTCAACGTAAAAATTGATAATATTATATCTCGCGTGCAAAGCAGAAGCAAACGTACTATATTATCATTTCAAGTGTAATAGAAATGTCCTCTTCTAGCGTTTCAACTCTTTGACCTACAATATCTTGTGAGACTTGTGACGAAAATTTGAAATTGAATTTGATGAAACCAATCGTTATTTAACTTTTGAGAATTTAAATTAAGTAATAATTTTCTATTATCCGTCATTAACCTTTTGAGTAAATGTAAACGTAGAGTAATCATAAAAATGTACCCTTCTCCTAATAAATTACTAACATTAAAGTAATTATACCGATCATACTTAACAAGTCAATCTTAAACTACGGTTGTCTTGCCTCCGTGTCAATATTAATATACTATAAAAATTACGATATAATACATTTTAAAATAAGCGTGAAAATATAATGTAATATAACGTATAACAGTAAATTAATATTTCAGTAACAGAAATCGTCATCAATAATAACCATTATACAACTGTATGCTACCACAGATTTTCTATATTATCATAATCAATTTTCCAAATTATTTGTTTTAGTACCTGAATTTTGTTGAATGCCACTCCAATGACTTCCCCAGTGGTAAAATCTGTGGCCACGACACTGACTCCATCCTTGGCAGCATCCAGACACAATTCCTCAAGTTCTTTCGATGCACCAACTTCTGCGGTCAAAGCTACACCTTTGCAGACGCTTTCGTTGATGAAGAAGCTTTTCCTGATGACATCCAAAGCTCCTTCTAGAGTGTCTTCCGTCAGAGACTCGAACTCTATAGCCCCATCCTCTATGGAGCCCCAGAGCCTGTACGGTGACATTCTGTCTCCCCTGGAATAAAGATAATCAGCTGACGAAAATTTGTTTCATATACTAGAACGTATTTCCGATACTCCGGTACATTGAACCCATTTTATTTTGTAATCTTTGGTAATTGCTTAACGGATTAGTTCCACGGAAATTAACGTAAATCTTCACCTCATGTTTACAGCAAGGTCTTCAGATACTGACGGTTACTTGTCAACTGATCATTATGAGTAATTCAGCACTGACTATAGCCACAAGAGTTACGTGTATCGAACGGAGGTTTTGATTATGTGAGTGTGCTATCACTGGAGCACGGAGTGTCTTATACGTAAACGATTTTCGAGTGAATTTCAACTGTTGGCGTTACTATGTACTCTGGTATCATCGAACTCTTGGTCTTCAGCCTTATCTGCTGTGTTTTTACTGCTACTGTTTTAGTATACGTTTTATCTTCGTAGGCGTCAAGATTGATTTGCCTGCGAGGCATGGCTGAAGAAAGGGAGAACATTCCATGGGATCGAATGACCCCATTGTGATGGCTAACAATCGGCAGATAACGAAACGGTTGAATAAAGAGCGGTAAAACAGAAACTCGATACGCATGTGGCAAGCGCCGATCACTGCATCACGTGGCCGTTTGGAAGGCCACGGCAACGCGAGAGAGCGTGGAAATGCAACATGGATAAATATAGTTATCTCATAGTGAGCTGTACAGGCCACCAGGTTCGTGGGACACTAATTTCATTCTAATAGTACAGACACTTCATTCAATGCTGTCGGATGACGCATGGTGTGGCCATGTTCGGTAAAATGTCGAAGAACCCACGTTTCATGTGATATAGACACATTATTAAATGAAAATGCTGTTGATATTTTTACCATCACTTTGGGATTGTGCGCATAGTTGGTTACAAATTTCAATTTCGAAAGGTATAAATAGTGCGAAGCGAAACGATAATTAAAACCTCGAAGAACTTACTTTTCATTTTACAAGAAAACATTATTTAATGGAAATGCTTTTATCGTTTTTACCATCACTTTTAGATTGTGCGCATACTTTTTGACAAATTTGAATCTTGAAATGTATAAATGGAAAGACAATGACAGTGGAGAACGGTTCTTGCTAAGAAGCATTATGAAAATTATAATAGACGTTTTATGAATTATTTTATCTTATGTATTCCGTATAATTTTGCACTTTCACCCATAAATACATACAAATCTGTACTTTACTCTATATTCACAGATATGTTTTATTTTTGTTTATGCCATATCGATACATTATATCAATATTTTGATTGATTATTGTTTTGTTTACAACCGATATAGATTTTATTATTATTTTCAGTTTCTCTAAAGATGTTCAGGCTTTAATCAGCTCAGACTTTAAGACTACCTTGAGTGCCGGGTATTTAAAAATTTGTTACGGTTCAATTTAAATAAGACGTAACTAACGACTTCATTACTGGCCTAAAATGATCTTTTATATGCAGATAAGGACAAATCTTTTCTTCGATAAGGCGCAGACAATTTCAAAACACTAATCTGAACCCAGTCGCGGCGGGAAATGTATTTGAACGTGCTCCGTTTTGGTTACACAAGCACAAACAGTTATGGTATCTTATTTTACTTGATTCTAAGTGCAAAAACTTCAAGTGCAATCAAAAGGATTGTAGAATTATCGAGCTGCATAATTCCTAGAACTAGATATTACCGCTCTATCAGTCGCGCAGGTGTAGTCTTAAAAAGATTAAGGGAAGCTCTGTCGCTGATAAATTCACTTGGCATCGATAATGTCACCGAAGCCTACGCCTGTCAAACTACCAGTCCAAGCTATTCTTAGAATTTGAATAAAATGCGAATCTATTGAATTTGACGGAAATACTGGCAAGAATTTCGTATTGACAATTTGCGATTAATTACTTACAACGATCCTGTTTATTTAAATGACAGTTGGTCAGAGACACTCGGTCGACAGCGTGACGACTATGTTCTGGAGAACAGTCGGACGTTTTACAATGTGATACGCTGTTGCGTCTGCCTTTTTGTCCTACTCTATCGCCTGGTGAAGTCCTTTTTCAATCGGTACTTTTGATACGAATGTGTCAAGGTGCTTCCCAATAGGACTTCACTAGATTTACACATCGTGCCATTCTGTGCAACAATACTCATTGCAAATGTTCCTATGAACATGACGAGGCCATTGGTCTAGCCGACTGCACCAGGCTGTTCAACAAGATAATTGCATAACGTGGAATGTTCAATTTTAGATACATGATATATTGCAATATGCAGCATAAGAAATGGCGGGAGTCCAGGATCTTGAGCAATGTGTTTACGGTGTAATTCATAGAAGAATGGTTCCTCGTGCACAACGCTCTTGTCAACTTAGAATTAATTAACATTGAGTTCACGGGTGTTTATTGTACAATGTATTTTATCGCTCCTAGAGAAGTTGATGTTTGTTCATTTGGATCTTGGAATTGAGACGTTTAAAAATGGACAATTAATATACATATTCATGGAATTGGATCGATTAATTAGAGAACTGTTTTGAGTGACGTTGGAAAAATTCTGTAATTTCTATCACGTAACACAACTTTTTTCGAACCAGTAAATGTTGCTGTATATTAAGTGGTATGTTAACACTAAACGAACCGATAATTTGTATATACCTATTCCCACCGGAACCAGTCAAATAATTAGTTATAAAACAAAATAAACAAGTTAGACGATACATTTTTCTTATTGGAAACAAGACCAGAGAAGGGCAAAAATTTTAAAAACCGTTTAATCAAACAGTATAGGGACCGATATAAAATTCAAAACGAGAGGAAACGCAGAATTTTAAATCAAACTTCACTACATGGTACATTTAGTCTTAAAATATTTTATTTATTAAATCTATTATCAAAAGCTAGATGCGAGTTCGTTAATTGCGTAGAATCATTGAACAAATAATCTAAACAAAGAATTGAAATATTTATTACAATTCGATAGTCGAAGAGACATTGTCCAATTAAAGCTCACACTTTCAAAGTCAACACAGACGCTATATTATGCGGAGACGTGTCCCGAAGAATAAATCTTCCTAACTCGTCCTTGTACTCGAGCATATCCTCTTCCAAAGCGCATTCGAATCCCAGTTTCTCGAACGCCTTTCTCGAGTACATAGACGTGCACAATCCGAAAATAAATCCGACATCCTCGACAATGTCTTTCACGAAGGATATAGCTTCTGCTATTATAGTTGTGCCGAGGCCCTTCCGTCGGAAATTTTTGTGTACAGCCACAGCATACAGTTCGACACCCACTTTAGCTTCCGAGAACCTGTCGAACAAGCAGGCCTTATCGATAATCTGCGACATGTAACTGAAATATGTCTTCATCAGCTTCGTTTTAGGAGGGTTCTTGTCGAACACTGATCCTTCATTGGCTGTCTCATCGATCTTTGGATTCCGATCGACGATCATCACTCCGGCGCCGATTATTTTCTTCGTAGACACATCCAGTACGATCAGGCAAGGTGTTTCTGCGATCAGCACATTTATTATTTGCTCGTGGTCCTTCCACATTAACTCTTCGTCTTCTCCTGTGACGTCATGCTTTTTCATGCATCTGAGGATATTCTCTTCCTTATCGAAATTTTCCCGGAGGAACGATAAGATCTCTGGCACGTGGGACTCGTTGGACCATTCAGTCGTGTAAGGTGAAGGGATCGATTCCATTTTGCGGTGTACTGCTCGGTTGGTCTCTTTACTGTTATCAGTAATACAGGGTTTTACTTTACCGTCCCTTGTCCCTCTGCACAATTTACTAATTGTTTTGCGAATGGTACACTTTGTTTCCTTTCGTGCCACTGTTTGGTAAGTTTGGCGTGCGAGTTATATACAGTTGGGCATCAAAACAGCGTGCCAATGCTTCCGGTTCTTGTTACAATACTGGTACATTACGTGGTTTCCCGCTGCTTCTATATGAATTCTTGGAATCCTTGCCTAAGTAGTAGAGGCTTACGTTTGGCCCCTGATTGGTCGACCTGCGTACGTACGCGACCCTGGCTGGTTCATTGATGGCCGATGCGATTCAGAACTTCTGATTAACCATCATGTGTACCAATAGAAAATATTGCCGAGTCTATTACTCTCGCTATTCATGCCAAGATGTCAGTGTACTTCAATATTCTCTATATGCCACTATTAGGTTAATTAAGAATAAAAATCAGAATCCCTCATGGTCCAAGAAATCAGAGCACCTCAAAATACAGGCGCATCTTAACTTATCTTAATGGTAATAATCGCTTCAAGAATCTCGTGATACATTCAATTTAAGGAATTCATTTTGTATTAATTATGTTTGTTTTTCTAGGACATGGACAGTTACGCAAAGGACAATTCATGGTTCCACGATCAGAGATACAGATCGCATCCAGAATCCATCAGAAATACACCAAGATTCATTTCTAAACTCAGTGTTTATTAACAACGTGTACATAAACATTTTGTTTACAATACTGCATCATTCGTGACCCGTGACAGGTCCCGAACACCTGATTCGCCAGTGGTACACGGGCAACATTGAGTCACCGGCAGCGCGGCAAGTGTCATATATTTTCTTTTCATAATATTATGCCCGGGTGGCAGCGTGTGTATGAAATAACAATTCCGTTTCCAGGTGCCGCATTTCGGAACACGCTTCCCGTGGCTCGCGGCGGAGCGCGCGTCAGAGCATGCGCATAACCGTCGCGACACCAAAATAAGATGGCCGGCCAGCGAAACAAATAAAGCGCCGTTGTAAATAACAAACCGTCCGAGCACGTTCCGCGTAGAAATCCTTGTGGTGATTACGTGGTGCCGGGCGTGTAGCGATCGCCTCGGTGCCGTTGGTTCTTGTGATCTGTCACGCGGACCCAGTGATCGAGCGGTAGTGCCCGTGTATCGCCGCGGTGTTTCACGGGCCACGATTCGCACCAGTGTTGAATGCGTGACGCGCGTGCAGGAGTTTCAAGGTACGCGGCTACGAGGCCAGCCGAGCCGAGGACCACCGTCGCCAGGATGCAACTGCGAAAGCGAGACACTCTCGTGCCACGTCCTCGCCCACGGCTCGCCTAGCTCCTCATGCTAGTCTCGTCTTCCGAATTGCTTGGAGCACAGCATGAAGGAGATGCTTGGAGGGTGCTGCGTGTGTTCTGACGAGAGGGGTTGGACTGAGAATCCGCTGGTTTACTGTGATGGCCAGGGCTGCACTGTTGCCGTACACCAAGGTTCATTCACTGTTACGCTGTAATAACACTGTTGGCAGGCAAGATTCGATCTTGAAGAGAGCGGTGCACTTTGTGTCCACTCTGTAGATTTGATGGCCATGCGAATGAATGTTTTGATTATAGAGAAGGGGTTTCAGTCAGTTTGGCGCACTGTCATCCATGAATCGTAATGTTTTGGTTTTGTTGCTATGTCAGACAGTACTAGCGTGTTGTTCGTATGTACAAGCTCTCTTTAAGATCAGTCTTGTCGTACGGTGTGTGATGTGGTTCAATTGGATGCAGGAGTGGGATGGTACTGATTATTTATTATTTTACAGCCTGTTATGGTATCGTTACGGTACCGACAGGGCCATGGTACTGCAGAAAGTGTGAATCACAGGAAAGAAGTGCACGTGTGGTGAGTTAAATGATGTTGTTATGTACTTTTGTTCGAATATTATAAAGGTGGGAATCGATGGAAGATAAGAGTATATTGGAGTAATGTACTTACAGTACAGTTAAGATCTAAAACCGTTGCAAGATTCACTGATTTATTTGTCAGTTTATGTTCTATTAATGTGTTTGACAGCGTTGCGAGTTATGTCCAAGCCGTGATGGAGCTCTTAAGAGAACAGATCAGGCTGGATGGGCGCATGTGGTTTGTGCGCTGTACATACCGGAAGTACGTTTCGGTAACGTGACGACTATGGAGCCTATTATTTTGCAATTAATACCATCCGAAAGGTTCAGTAAGGTAGAGTACTCGATGTTGAACCACTGTTCTTCGTAGCCTTACAGCATAGTATTACTTGTAATGATTGTTTTAGTCATGCTATATCTGCGAGGAACAAGGCAGAGGTAGTAGAGCAAATGTGGGAGCCTGTATGCAATGCAACAAAACTGGCTGCAGGCAGCAATTTCATGTCACATGTGCTCAGGCTCTTGGCTTGCTCTGCGAAGAAGCTGGCAACTATCTTGATAACGTTAAGTACTGTGGATATTGTCAGCATCACTACTCTAAACTGGTAAGTGAACGTTTTACCTCGTGGAGTCATTCTTCGTTATTCCAATGCACTCAATACCAAATGTCTGCTCGATTTCCAGAAAAAGGGTGGTAACGTTAAGACGATACCACCTTACAAGCCAATACCAGCAGATAATGGCTCGTCAGACTCATCTCCTGAAAAGGAAGCAGAGACCCCGATAAAGTCTTCGTCAAGTGGTAAACGAAAGAGTTCAAGTTCCAAATCCGCTACCAATTCTAAAAACAAATCCAATACTAGTCCAAGCCTAGAAATAAATGGCGTTGCTGACGACAAAAGCAGCAGCGGTCGTAATACACCCAAAGAGAACACCACAAATTCCAGTAAATTCACAACTTCCAACTTCGTAGAGACAATCGTCACCCAATCGGAGAGCGTGTTCGGGCACGACGGCACTGCCTCCACTACCGCCGCCGCGACGATCAAGTCGGGATCGAACGCGAGCTCGGGCCACAAAAACAGTGGGCAGACGAAATCGAATTCGTCGACGTCCAACAAGACGTCCAGCCACAGTAAAAAGAGAAAGACCGGAGCCCGTACGCCGACCGTGATAGGGAACGAGAACTCGAACCAATCGGTCAGCTCTGAAGCCAGCGGTTCCGTTGTGGTCGCTGTTAGTTCGGTCGTGCAGCAAGCTGTGTCCAGCAATAATGTACAGACTACCATAACGGAAGCTACAAGCTTGAGCACGACTACAGAACCGGAGAAATCAAAAAAGGTATATACACATTTTCCTCGAGATGTTGTACAACGTATCTTTTGTACCATGGAGTCAAGGACCAATACGCGTTCTTGTTTTCGTTGTTATTTTGTAGTTGAAAGTTGAGAGTCCCATTCAATCGTCATCGAACACTCCAGTCAGTACGGAAGCGACTACCACACCTGTGATAATGGCAGTAACGCAGTCCCAATCCTCAATTGTAACCCAGTCACCAACGACTACTTCTAACAGTATAGTCGTGTCCGTACCACTGACTGCGACTTCGCTGCCTAGTACCGTGCAGAGCGTAGTGACCAGTGCTCCAACGTTGTACCAGCAATTGCAGCAGAGTATTATCACCACAGCTGCCGCCACTGAGCCGAGAACAAGTGCTGTACCCAATTCTGAGAGATTTAATACAGAGGAAGCTCCTGTTAAGAGATCTCGGTAGGTATTTAAATAAATCACTGTGCCATTTCAATTATCATCATTATTCTTATCCTTCTTCTAAAGTGTTGGTTAATTTTTTCAATTGTTCAGTGCCCATTGTTGAGATTTCGTATTTAATTTGTAACGTCCAGGGCATATTCTCTGAACTGACGAATTAGAATATATAGCCATTGGATTTTTTCCTGCCTCGAGTTACCGAAGTACAACAGTACATATAGTTCTATTTACTATTCCAAACGCGCGCCAAAACAGAATGCATCAAAATGGCTGTCCCATTGGATAAACAAGCCACTTTGCTCCTAACCTCGTCACGCGCATAATAAAAATTCCTCAGGTAGAAAATTTTTATGGTCTGTGAGTGTCTATTATCTGAGAAAAGTTTGATTTCTTTGTGATCGGACAATTATCTCGGAATTTTTCGGAACCAGTGGTGATAATCGGATGGTGTTCATAATCAACAACATAATACTTAAAGAGGTGGCCAAATGATCTGAGGCCAACATTCCTAGAAACATTGTTTTTGTGAGGTGTCTGTTTTTACAAACATTGAACGACGTTCAGCTTTGTGAAAAACTGGAGGCTTCCCAAACACTTCGTGAATCGCTCACATTATTAAGGACACTTTGAGGTTATGTTTCTTTCTTCTGCCTCAAGGGGCCTCAAGGGCAACGAACGAAGGAAAGGAGTAACGTGACGTTCTAATTGTTAGTGTGTAACGGTCCGTTTCTACAATTTCTTCTAAAGAATTAAATTCGAAAAATATTTCCTTTGCGTAATCGGTATTCTCATTGGCATGTAGTGATTTTGGTAAAGTGAAATGTGTGAACTGTGTTTGTTTTCTTCCTGTGTGCCATAAAGTTTACTTTTTATACTGTATTAAGTGTAGCAAAGACTTCTGTTATCATTGATCGGTAGAATTCAAGTTTCATTGTTTCCTTAGCTCTCAGTCATCGGACAAGCAGGAAAAGTCGCGTAAACCAAAGCGAGGCTCTTCAAATAGTCAACCAGCGTTGCAACAGCCACAGCAACAGTCTCAGGCGCAACTACAGCAGCCTCAGTCAGTAGCTTCCTCAGTGGTGACCTCTGTGTCCAGCAGTGCTGTTGTGACGACATCGAAAAGAGGAGGTAGAAATAATCATCAAACTCCTCCACCAGCCGTTACTGTGGCACCAGTACCATCCATCATTCAGGGGCCTACATTATCCAGTGGCCACTTTAGCAGTATTACTGCTGGGTCGGCGAATACAATGGGTCCTACTGTTAAAGAATCTCCTCCGAGCAGTCCTGGTTCTGAAAGTATGAGCAGTAGTGGACCAGGAAGGCGGAAAAGGAAGAGTGCCAGCGCAGCCTCTACAACACCTATACCGTCTGCCTCCAGCACTCCAACACTTACAAATCCTAAAGAAGAAAAGGATATTAAGCTGTAAGAATTGAAATATTTTTGCTATTTTCTGTGTGAATATTTAATGTACTTATACTTATTTACTGTTTGATACAGGTTTCAGAATGGCGTGAGTGCACCACATATGTTGGGCAATCAGTTGAATCCAACTTCTACGATGGCACAAAAAATGTCTGACACTCTTTCGCAAGAACTCGAGGCACATTCTATTTTTACTGAAGCTAGTAATTCCACGACGAACCTAGTTGGTCCACAGCTGCATAGTCGAGTAATTGCATCTGTATGTATTTTGAGAAATGTGCATTATTTTCTTAAAAAATACTGTTATACAAAATGTTTGTAGATAGTGTTACATGTTTTAACACATTCTTTTGCTTAACAAGCAGATACGATCGAATCAGGCAGGTGCACCGCCTACATCATTTTCCTCGGTCTTCAATACCGCGACCAATACGAATACCAACTCCAGCATGGGTAACACCAGTGGTAGTGCTGCGCTAGGAGGTGGAGCAATACCTCAAACTCTGGACCAACTTCTAGAGAGACAGTGGGAGCAAGGAAGTCAATTTCTGATGGAGCAGGCCCAGCACTTTGACAGTGAGTGTACGGCAAGGAAAAACATGCTTTCAGTCGCATGGGTTTGGTGAAATTGGGGATTTTAAACTTCCAGTTATGTCTGCATGAATATATGTACAGTTCTACATTGTTTCTAATTGGCATTAGACGAGTCACTCAGTGGCCTAATTAAGGTCAGACTGCGTTGCTTCCTGGCTTGTTGAGTTTAAACATTACAAACTACACATCGAAGGATATTAATCTCAATTCGTAATTTTGCTGTTTACAGTCGCTTCCCTACTTTCATGTCTTCACCAGTTAAGAGCAGAGAACCTTAGGCTAGAGGAGCATGTAAATAGTCTTTTACAAAGGAGAGATCACTTATTGGCTGTGAACGCAAGACTTGCTATTCCACTGACCAGTCAACCTAGCACACATCCAGGTAAGTTTTCTTCTTAAAATTATCTAAATGTGGATTTACTTGGTGTCTAATAACATATGTATGATTTCAGCGAACAACATACACCCCACGGTAAATCCATCTCACCCCAATATCCCGCACCCTGATGTCCCGCCAGGTGCTGCTGCTCCAGTTCCGCGAGTGAACCGGGAACCCCGAGTGAACAACACGTATATGCCTCATTCCAGTTCCAGTAATCATTCGACGACGTTGGAGAACGGCTTACCTCCCGATCCCTCGCCACCTGCTGCAGCTTCAATATCACAGTACCAGCATAGGACATCTTTAGTTGCTCCTCAACCCAGTCCAACGATCAGGTAACGTATACAGACTGAGAAAAGTATTCAGGGGCAATTTTTGCATAGCGATTGTTGCATTTTTCGTTACGTATAAACGGTATTTGTCAATTTTATCGATAATATAGAATATGTTTTATCTTTTCTTTTATATTTTTTATAGTATGAAGATATATTTTTAAAATTGTAGTACGCCCATAAATTAAACCCTGTAGATACCACTAGAAATAATTTAAAAGTAAGTACTGCGAGGTTTAATTATCGATTTGGTTATTATGTTCAGGCATAGTCCAGCCGGAAGTGCGTATCATCAGGGTCAACCAAGTAATATAGTGTCTCCTGCACCTGCTAGCAACGCTGGGGTAGTCAGGAACTCGTCGGTCACACCTGATCCGCTGCGTGGAGTACCAAGGTGAACATTCGAATACTTTCGGATGTATTTTATTTCATGTTTATATTACAGTCTAATCACAAAGGAGGGGAAACTAAGAATAAAACATTCTCATTTCAGCAATCTAAATTACAAAGTAAAATATTTTATTTTAATAAGCATAAAATGAAAATAGTTACTTCAATCTTTCTTACAGTATTGGATCATGTTTCTACTCATAAATCTATTGAACGTTGATCAGTATTTTTAGTAATAATATTCAAACTAAACAAAGCAAATTAAAAGGAGTAAAATATTTGAAGACAAAATCCTATGCTTCCAGTATTCTTCATGTAAGATATTATAGTAAAAAAATATCATTTGAGAACGAGATTTTATCAAATGAAACTCAGCATATTCGAAACTATACTCACACTTCAAAATAAATAGAATTGTTTTCTACTTACTTTTTAAAGTGGTATTTCATCCACTATCCATTCATATATCAAATATTGACACGTTAAATGCTGTGCCGGTCATCGATGACCGATGCTTCGGAATTGTTTGAAAGAAATTATAATATGCAAAGTGACTGCTGTTAACTGAAACTATTTAATAGCACAAATAGGTTAACAATAGTGTAATGTAGAAATTCTGATTCCAAATAATTAATAATTGTTCCTATGTACTTTCGCTACGAAAGAACAAATCATGTATGAAACATTCAAGATTCTCGTGACGATTAACGTGTTAATTATTATCTATAGTATTTATATTCATTATCATATAAAGTATACCGGTTTGAAGATTGCTGCAGGAGAGGCTAGGAGAGTCTTGTCTTCTTTCTGTTACAGGTCAGTGCCACAGTCATCGAGCAATTACATGTCATCAATGTACCAACCCATCACTATGTCGAATCTTTCAAGTAATCAAGTAGGTAATGTTCATAACCTTCATTCACATGGACCTTCTCCACCCAGCCTTGGACCACCGGGGAAGCCCAGCTGAAGATAGATGGACACATCGGGGAAAGAGAAGCGTGCTGTATCCGTTGCAAGACGTGGTAGTGATGAAGCTTGATCATCGACCGAGAGACGTGTTTGTTCATCGCCGCGAACGATGGAACCGCCTGGTCCTCGAGGTTGACCCGTGCCTCGTCGAATTGACATCAATTGATACTGACTTCTGTCTCGATTGACCATTGATTAGGTAGCCGCAACGTCACCTAAAGCAGAACGTTCAGGGCTAAAGTGATGTACCACCGTTGGAAGGAACCATCCGTTGCATTGACTGTTAACCCTTTGCACTCAAAGGTTTTTTTCTTGTAAATATTCAACATTTTCTAATGATATGTCGATGACATCTTCTGCGATTTGCATAAAGAGAAATCGTACAGTATTTAACGCCTTGACTTATAATTCATTTTTCAACTATGATGATTACGACTAAATACTTTATCAGTATCAACTTATGGAAAAAATAGAAAATTTCTATGAATTTTCCATATCTATGTTTCTCGCAAATTATAATTACTGTTAATAAAATAATAGTATTTAATTTAAATTCAAATGGATTGAGTAATGTTTGTGTGTTAAATTTTCATTTAAATCTTTATGAATTTGACACGTTGTCGTTATACAAGGAGTTATGGAACTGCACTGTTTCTTTTCAGTATTTCATGTATTGTATACACATTCTACAAAATTCAAGATTGAATATGAAGCTTTACGATTGTGTTACACTTGACTGTCTGAGAGTCACCTCTCGAGTGCAAAGGGTTAATTGACTTTTGTAGCGTGTCGTTTTGTAAAACACATTTGTAGGCACGTTTTCTATGACATAAATCGACAGGCACGGTGCATAGAGGTACAGCTGGGAGATGACTCGATGTCCTAGGTCTTGATACAGTACGAGAGGTGTGCTTCTAGCTTACAGTTTTACAGTTTCGATTAATTACTTGTAGCCGTATTAATAAAGTGTAAGTTAACGATGGAAGACATCAGAAATTAAAAAATAAAACCAACAGAAAATTGGGTGACAAAAAATGAACAGTGATCAGTGAGCTTAGGCATCAAGTAATCCTCTAGGGGTTTAGTTGGACGATGACTTGATGTCTTGCAGAAAGCTGTAGGATCAAGAGGTCTTCCTAATTTTACAGTTTTGATTAAGTATAACCGTACTGTCAAATAGTGAAATTAAAGAATAAAACCATCAGATAATTAGGCGACAGAAAATAAACCTTGTAGCCTAGCCATCAAGTGATCTCCTAGCCAGTAGCCACCGGAAGATTCCAATCGCTTCGCGTGTCACGTCGTTGACTTCTCGTTCCTCTTTGGTTGCGCGTCGTCAGGCACGTCTGAGACAATCTCTTCCTCATCGTCGAGAATGAGCAGAGTAACGGCAAACGCAGATGTACAAATCTTAGGGTGTAAGTTAATCTATCGCGACGAGAATAGCAATAATATTTACATGTAGGTGTACATTTTAATTGGAAGTAATCACTTGTAAGTCCGATGGCACGGTGTCAAGCCATCGTTTTATATAGAATCGTTTATTGCAGTCGACTCACCAACTTCATCCGACTTGTATTCTGAACGAGTGAGTTTCAGGACTTAGAGTACACGGTACACATTGAACTTGGGAAGTCTTTAAATCCTCTAAATCACTTCATCCAAATTCTATTGTTTACTTTATTTATTCTTCATCATTGGTTAGACCCTACACATCACTGTATGTATTAGCTAATTTTGAAAAATTGTTTAATGAGTACCAAGTACCACGTCCCAGTTCACAAACACTCCGTAATAGCGAATGCTAGACTGTTCAATCTCAGTAGATTCCTTTGGTAACAGTCTTCAACCATAAACATAATGCAAACTCGACCTGTCCCGCACTCGTCAACTGTATATTCTAATCTTATACATAGAACATACTAAATGTACAACACGAGCACTGCCTTCCACCAATAAAGTTTCGATGCGGGACAGGTTGACAGGGGTGTGGGGGTGGATCCTCCCCGATAGCGAACACGTGATTTGTTTCTATTTCAACTTCCACACGGCCCGTTTAGCGATGCTGGTTAAACGGAGCTGATCTGTCGCGAGCAATTCATTACTGGTTTCGTGATGTGTAATATAGGTTCGTTGAATGTTTTCGTTTTTCGGTTTTGTTGTACCGCGCCCCTCTCGATGGCTACCGCACACTTCACTCGACGACTGCGACCTTTGATCGCTGCGACGATCATCGAACTGCGGATCTTTGTGCACTGTAGTTAACACGTTGACAATGCTGAGAGTTTCGTGTCAGCCATTTAACACTAAAACTACCAGATGGATCGAAAGTACTCATTCCTGATTTCTTCTTTTTGCAATTATTAACACTTTGCGGTCCGAAAAGATCTTAGCTTCTCACTCGGTAACTCATATAAATGTATTTTAAATCAAGTGTAATTTTATGTACCATTTTAATAATTTATTTGAGGACATCTGAGAACCACTAAAATATTACTTACATATGATACAATTATGATACTGTGCATAATTGTAGCAAATATTCATCCACCACTTAACTAATCCAGTGAATTGAACGCCGAATCTATCTTGACGTAGGATTGCAAAGCGTTAAAGAGATGTTTCTCTGACTATTTGTTAAAGAAATTGAGTTAGCAAGATGCAAACTGAATTGAAAATGTGTTGAAGTCTGAATAGATGCACTCTTGGAGTTTCTATAGAAGAATTTGTAGAAGTCATTTTATCTGTTTCGTAGTTTTGGTGTTAATGGAATGAAATATTGGTTAACTTCATCAAACAAAAATTGACAAAAGTAATGGAATACCCTGGTTTTCAAAGTTTTCCTATAAATGGGAAATTTAATGAATATTATTTAATGTATATTATGTATTTGCTATTATTTGTTTATTGCAACGAGTATGTAAAATGCATGGAAGGGTATATCCTTGAAATAATATTTATTGTTATTGTGATTTTTGTATTGTTCCAGAAATGTTTGGTTTTCGGTAATAATTGTGCGACAATTTGAGAATCCATTGCTTTAAGGATAGAGTTTGGAAAATTATCAATGTGAAGTTAACTGACTTATCTTTCACTGGGAAGATACATAAAATCGATTATTCATTATTTGATGTCACTATTGTTATAATACACTATTATCTTGTTACGATATTAAATAGTTTTATTTGACATCAATTATGTTGCACATTATAATTGCCTTCGGCAATCTGGAAGTATTCGTTATTAGTGACCACAATGACAGTCAACGTGTTAGAGTACAATTGCATTCTATTAACTTTGTAATTTTCATGTTACAATTTATTTATTACTGCCATTAATTCTGGTATTCGAATTCTGCTTTCCAACTTGCTTCGCATTTGTCTATGATATTGCGAGAACGCATACATTTCCGCAGTTCGAAATAACTGTACATGTTAATCAAAACTTGTTAGACGAGTACGTGGATCTGTTGGTGGTGTTTGCCAATAGTATTTTCGCTCAAGGAACTAGAACTATTTGTACTACGAAAATTCGGCTTAATCGTGACCCTGCACTGATTCTTGGTGATGAAAGCTGATCAACAAATTTCACGTTTGAGAAAAAAACCCCATAAATAATTCAGTCTTCAAAAAAATGTACGAATCAATTATCTAACTGTATGTAATTCATTATATAACGAATTATAATGGATATTTTCATATAATAGAATATTTCTTTCCATTTTTTGATGATCTTGGAAATTAGAACATGTAACTAACGAAGCTGCAACAATTGTGTACTAATTTAATAATAGCATGGTTTAGCTGCGAACACCAAGAATCACCAGATGTCAACATTTGACGGAAAATGTAGTTTGTCTCTTTTATAACTGAACTTTCGATTAGAATGATGGAACATTAAAATGGAGGATGAGGAACGGCCAGAAGTCTGTCTTTCCGTTTCGAACGGAGTTGAATTCCAATGTTATAACGACATTTTTTTTTTCCTTTTTTTTTACATTTTGTTCTTTATCGTCACTGCCTTGTTAGACTTATAATTATTTAATTATATTCAACTTTGTTTCACTGTTAAGAACGAAGTCGCGTTGTAGAAAAATGAATGGTACCAATTACCGTGTTGTGTTCCTTATTTTAATTAGTATGTCGCGGAAAGACGATTCAAGATTGCATGTGTGAAATCGATTTGCCTCTCTTCGGACTGAGATGTGCAAAATGTAATCTGACTATATATTACTCGTAATTGTTCAAATGTGATTGGATAACATATTGTCTTCGATAATCTTGTGTTGTTGCTAATCTTCAAATTAATTAACTCCTTGACTTAGGATTTACTTGTCGACTATGATCAATTCAGTTAGTTACAATATCATTAATAATTAGTTCATTAAAAAAACCGAAAAATATTAGATTTATTTTATGCCTATGTTTACTCAAAATTATAATTATTGATAACAGAAGAATAATATTTCATTTGAATTCAACAGGATTGCGTCATATTTACGCTTCTTAAATTTTGGTTAAAATCTTCATGAGTCTGACACGTTGTTATAAGGCGAGGGGTTGAAACAAGTTTTGAATACTATTCGCAGATAATAACCTCCTGTTGATTAAAACTTGCATTTTAATGATTACGTTTAACTCTTTGCACTGTGTAGCATTTTCTACATTTAATGGAGATACTCGATTATTAATGACTTTGTGTTACATTAAATTTGAATATGAACTCATTTTTCAGTTTGTAATATTTTATTGTGTGATATCTGTAAGGAAAATTTGATCTAAATACTGAATGCCAGCGGAATTAGTACAAGTGAAAAGGATTAATATGTAATCAGTAGACTTGCTGTCTTTATGCATTTATCATAATTATCAGTCCATAGATTATGGAATGAAGAAGTATATACAAGGACATAACAACTATGTTACTTTATTTTCAACTAATGAAGATTTGATAAGGAGGGAATTATTTTCTACTTAAGCCCTGTTTGTTTAAATTACCTCAACGAATCAGTGGCTCATGATAATGGTGACCAATTTCTATTTCTGTTTTCTCATGCAAAAAAGCTTTCGCAAAGTATTCCAAAGTTAACTAAATATTAAATATTACAATGACTAATATTAATATTTAATAATGACTGATATCAATATTTAATAATGACTGATATCATTAATGACATGGTAATATATTAGTATCTAGTTAATCCAAGACTACTTAACAAACATTCTTTTTATTACATCTCAGAAATAGTAAGTACACCACTGTTATTTGTAGCTATTCCTATCTCGATTTCGTTGATTATAATAATTGGATTACATTTTGCCCAACTCTGTCTTCAAGTGTGACGTTGTAAATTCGGTGGACGTGTTTTTTAGGCTAACGACGGACGGAGGCGATAGTGGTAGATTACGAGAGCGACGTAAATTGAAGGTAGCTCGTCACCACTCAGGGAAATTCGATTTACTATACTTGATATCCGGTCGAGTTCTCTTCTTCGATACTGCTATTTTGTAATATACAGATTTGCCAACGGTAGCAGTGCTCAGGGTCTCAGTGTAATGATCAGACTGGTTCAACCGAAACT